AAAGCAAAGCCAATCACCCATTAATGCCATTTTAGGGCTTGCTGGTATGGGGATGCACCAGAAGTAGACAATTATATCAGAATAAAGTCACTTCTCTTCCAGAATGGAGTGTGCACACAGGAAGTTACACAGGCTTAGCTATAGTTCTGCCTGTCAGTTTCCCCATGTAGACAAGCCCTCTGAGTCAACCTCAACCCAAGGAAAATCATGACTGAGTGCATGATACTCTGAGGGCTAAACTACTGAGCTTTAATTGCCTTGGGAGTGCTCTTCACACTGGAGATTTTTCAAAATACCCTGGTGAAAGTTGCTCCATTTTGACCAATGATAAAGTGAGATGAGTTGGGTTCCCAGAAGCTTCTTGGATTTGTTTGAAAATACAGAGTGCAAGTCAGCTGTAATGAAACAACTGCATGAGTGCAAGAAGCTGCTTGTGTAGAACTAGAGACTGGTGAATCTCTGTGGAAAGGACGTCTTCAAGGCCTTGCAATGTACAAATTCCAGTCCTCTCGCCTAGGGCCCCACAAAACCATAATCTGCCTCTGGTTGTCAGGAAGTTTTCCTATTCCTCCTTGGTGTTTACATTTGCATACTTGTGGTTTAGGCATTGCTCAGCTATACCAGTCACATTTAGCACTTTTTTTAACCTTTCCCTTTAGATTAATAATTTTTGTTGCTTTTCTCAAAACTGTCCAGTTTGTCTTTTTTTCTACTCATTTCCAGAATTGAATGCAGAATTCCAGATGCAGTTGCAGAGAGTTACAGTGAGAGACTGTTACTCCCTTTCTCGTTACATGATACCTGTATGTACGTGTGGGTGGGGCAGTGCTCAGAATTACATTTGTTCTATTTTGCTGCCATATCACATTACTAACTTGTATCTAATTTTCTAATGTCTTTCTATTAGTGCTTTTCAGGTTCCTTATTTGTTTTCAGTATCTGTGTTTCCAATTAGTACTGTCCAACAGTTTGCATTTTCCCCATCTCATTTGGTTATTTCCTACCCATACTTCTAAACATTAGGGCCCAGATCCACAAAGGGATTTAGGTATTGCAATCCCTAACACTTAAGTGCCTAGAAAAATCAGTGAACAATAATGGGATCCATAAAGCCCTATACAAAGAATGGGGAGAGACTGCCTTAAACTGCCGCCCACAAAAGTCAGCAAGCTAGGTGGAGAGCCACCTAAGCTAGCTAATGACAGATGCCGATGAGAGGGGTATGTTCTAAGCCCGTCCCATGGAGATAGGTGCATAAGTCCAGATTGCAAGTGAAGTTAAGCACCTCCTTGCAATCAACAGCAGAGAACCCCTTTCCTGGAATCAGGCAATTTAGGGATCTCAGCGGGGAGGGGCCCTCATCATGGCACACTCCTGGGCAGCCTAGCGCAGCAGTGCAATTACACCTGTCTGAATTTGCCCCATTGGGGTCTCAATCAGTCCAACAAAGCTTATGTATATTGAACAGTGCCCCTTCAAGGCTGTAGTTTATATAACACAAAGGTGGAATGATATGCAGGCCTCCACTCCAGAGTCTGCAGCTGGAGGGGGAGGGGGTTGAATTAATCTTAGTCCATCAACCCCACTTATGTTCATGTCCCTTACCAGTGAGGCCTCTTGACCCAGAAACCTCTTCTTGAGTCAGGGACTCTTGTCATCTCGTGAGGAAGGATCTCTACTCTTGGGTCAAGATCCCCAAATCTGAGACCCTTTCTCAGAACAACATACAATCTTCTAATCGGGGGCTTTTGCTACATGATGAAATCCTTCCATGAGGACCAGGTTCTGCTGAGACTTGGTATTCCTTCCTTTCAGAGCATCTCCCACCTAGGAGCATTCTTACAGGTACTTGGTTTCCTTTCCTAGTGAGCTCCCTTAATGGCTCTCACATTGGAAGCTTCCTTGTTCTTGATTCCACTTTTCTCCCCAAGAGCCTCTGTTCTTTAGTAGAGTCTACTGGGAGTAGCTTCCTTTCATCATGCATGGTGCTTCACTGCCTAATTAACTGCCTACCAATTACTCAGTGAGTTAATTAGCCCCAGGTTCACCTGAGTTACCTCATTTCCCCTTGTGGAGCTTGTCAGAGATAGACTCAGCTCCTGACTCCTATTCAGGGCCAGCTACCCTCTAACAGTTCCTGAGCCATTTCTTGTGAGAATGAGTTAGGTGTATGCCTCTTTCCACACAAAATGGGGATGGTCGTAGTACCCAACTTATAACTTTTAGCCCAGTGGTTGAAGTACTCACCGGGGATGTTGGAGATCTAGGTTAAATTCCTCCTTCTGCCTGATCGGGAGAGGGGATTTGAATAGTGGTCCTCCACCTCTCAGGAAAGTGCTTTAACCACTGGATTATGGGATATTTTGATGTGGGTTGTTCTCAGTCTGGATAAATAGTCAGAGGGCCAGAGAGAGACATAGGTGCTGGAACTAGGGGTGCTGTGGGTGTGCCAGCACCACTGGTTTAAAGTGGTTTCCATCATATACAGGATTTACAGTTTTGTTTAATGGCTTTCAGCACCCCCATTATAAAAATTGTTCCAGCACCTATGCAGAGAAAGTGTGAGAATGACTCTATAGCCTGGTGGCAAGGATACCTACCTTGGGAGACCTAGGGGCCAGTCCCCCTGCTCCAGTGACTCTAGTTATTTATCCAAAGTTGGAAAGCTTCAACAAGAGAGACTGAAAGATTTCCACACCAGAATATCCCATAGCCCACTGGTTAAGGCGGCACCACCTCCTTCTCCTCCATTTTGAATGAGGCCTGTTCCAGTGGGCATACTTTAAGGACGCTTACCAGATTGGGCCCGGCAGGGAAGATCGGTGAGCAAACACCCCTGGTTTGTAGATCCTGCTGGGGTTTAGGCGTGGGACAGGCCTGCACATGCCCAAACATAGAAACTAAGGTGCCTAGGGAACTTTCACAGTGGAAACTTAGGCACTGAGTGACTGTAGCTACCTGTAGCATTAGGCAACAGCCAAGTGGAGGTTTTGTGAATAGCAGTGTTGCCTAAAACTGGGACTTATGCACCTAAGTGGATCTGAGCCGAGATCCTTTCATATTTTTTCTGTATACTCACTTTTGTTCTAGACACCTCCCTCTCAACATATTATCAATTGGTAATTTAATTAATGTGCTGTTAATGTGCTTTCATTGAACACCAGCCCAGACCAGACAGAACACTGAAAATGACATCTTGACATAACTCTGTACTTTGTAAAAGAAAAGGGAGTTTTTGGCACCTTACCTTTATTTGAGCAGGGTTGGGCCCCCCCTGTTTATGGTCTTATCTAAAGTGATCAACAGGTGGGCCATTTCCAGCACAAATCCAGGTTCCTGTTGATCACTTTAGATAAGCCAGCAGGAAGGGGGGGGGGAGGAGGTTACTCCACACAGTGCTGTTATCCAAACTGATTTGAATTAATTTGGGAGCGTAGATCAGGAGACTAAATTTCATATATCTCTGAGTTGTGCAAGAATCCTGTTGTATTCCTCCGAGTTCTTAAAGAATTCCAGCTGGTGGATCGCAGCATTACTGGCAACCTTTCTTGTCCAAAGCAGACCACAACACGTCAAACTTAACATCTGTGTGCTAACGGGTACACAGTAAAATTTGGAGTATGTAGCCCCACAGAATGTAATAGCTCCTAACCTAAAAGAGAGGCCAATAGGTCTGGTTACCTATTGAAAGTTTGTAGGGTAGAAATGGTCTGTGAAGAAGGAGTAGAGTGAATTTTCTACACAGCTTAGTTTATTAAGCTGCACAGGAACTCCATGTGTAACTTAATTGGGCAAATGCATTGTCCAGACAATCCCCATCTGTTTTGAGTTTAAAATCTTCTCTTCAGTCTGTAGCTAACTATATGAAATGGATTTTTTGTATTGTTTCCAGAGGTTGCCTAATCAGTCAAGTAGACTGAATCCAGAACTGGGAGCCAAGAACTCCTGAGTTCTCTTTCTGATTTTTACCACTGTCTAGCCTTGAACAAGTTACTTGTGGCTCAAGTTTCAGGCCTTTAATCTCCTGGGCCAAATTCACTGCTGATATAAGCGAATGAGACTTCATTGACATCAAGGATTTGCAATGAATTTGGTTTTCTGTATGTCATTCCCCAACTGTAAAATGGAGAAGATATGACTAATTTACCTTGGAGAGGTGTTGTGAGGATAAATTAGTTAATAAACCTGTTTTAAGAAGAAAAGGGTAAAGTATTTTTATTTAGTTGAATAGATAAGATCAATGAGTAAGTGAATGTGCTGAACATTTTATATACAGCAAATGTGCTTATTGGGTCTTTTTATGTATTTATTTCAGATTTCAGTTGCTTTGGGAACTTCTACAGAAATACAATACAAACATTTAAACAATTCCATACACAGAAGACTACCCCTGCAACTGCTTAGATATTTTTACCCAATATAATAACAACCATCCCCAGTGGCCCCAAGACTAACTGTTCCCTTCTCACAGCTTAGAATCCATGAGCCTTCTCAGATTCCTGAGGGTAGGCTTTGTCACTTAGAAAGCTTTTAATTTGTTATCCTTGCATATATCATTATCTAGAGGAAAACATTAGATAAGACTCCAGTTGGGAGTGATGGAAGCTTAATATTAAGCAATATATAATTCAAAGCTGTTTTTTTAAACCATTAAGATGATTGCCCAAATATCTGACACATTTTAATGTCTAATTCCCAGGGCATTGGGTTCGGGTAGCTCTAGAGATACAAGGACTTCCTCTTTTTCATGGTTGATTACCCTGAACAGTAATAGTATATTGTAACTGATATTCATGGTGTAGAGTATAATGAATTATATTATCTTCATGTCCTTGAAATACATTGCTGTAATGAGTCATTTTGTTGAGAATCATATGTCTCGAGTCATTAACTTGGTTTGTGTATTGTAATACGATATATATTGTGCTTCTCCTGACTACCACAATGATAACTAAATATATGACTGCATTATGACTTGCAATACATCGTACTTATTCTAGGCAGCAAGTTTAATGCAGAATCCTCAAGTTCAACAACTGTAAGTATTAATATGGAATATCAGTGAAAAGAGATGCCAGTGGTGTCTGAGTGGGTTAACAAAACAAAAGCAAATGGCAATGAATTACTAAAATTTGTATTGTGTTCTTCCTATTATTGACTTTACAGCTGTACTCTTTGTAACTGGATCTACCACAGTTTAGTTTCCCCTACAGCTCACTTAATAACTAGTAACTAGATAACATGATTTTGGCAATTAATTGATCTTTAAATATTCATGGTAAATAGGCCCAATGGCCTGTGATGGGATGTTAGATGGGGTGGGATCTGAGTTACTACAGAGAATTCTTTCCTGCGTGTCTGGCTGGTGAATCTTGCCCATATGCTCAAGGTTCAGCTGATCGCCATATTTGGGGTTGGGAAGGAATTTTCCTCCAGGGCAGATTGGAAGAGGCCCTGGGAGTTTTTCGCCTTCCTCTGTAGCATGGGGCACAGGTCACTTGCTGGAGGATTCTCTGCACTTTGAAGTCTTTAAACCATGATTTGAGGACTTCAGTAGCTCATAGGTGAGAGGTTTATCGCAGGAGTGGGTGGGTGAGATTCTGTGGCCTGCATTGTGCAAGAGGTCAGACTAGATGATCATAATAGTCCCTTCTGACCTTAATATCTATGAATCTATCCAGTACTCTTCCTAGTAACCCAGCAAAGAACTGCAGTTTGTCACTTAAGACAGGGGTTCTCAAACTGGGGGTTGGGACCCCTCAAGGAGTCACGAGGTTATTACATGGGGGATCGCAAGCTGTCAACCTCCACCCCAAACTCCACTTTGCCTCCAGCATTTATAATGGTGTTAAATATATTAAAAAAGTGTTCTTAATTTATAAGGGGGGTTGCACTCAGAGGCTTGCTATGTGAAAGGGGTCACCAGTAAAAAAAAAGTTTGAGAGGCACTGACTTAAGATAACCCCACAATACCAATGCTGTGTTAACTGTTCTAGAATGTCGGGGATGATGTCCAATGCCATTGGCGGCCCTGCTGCAGGTGTTGGTGGCCTAAGTGATCTGTCAAGCCTCATACATGCGTAAGTGTTGTGAAGATTTACATATTATTTTAACTACCTAACATTTGTAGAAGCAGCACTCAGCTGCTGTTTAAAAGAGACAGTGTCAAGCTGATTTTTAGCCTTTGTATTCCTGATAATCTTAGATGATTAAACTTTACATCTCACTCTTCACTATTTTATGTTTATTTACTTTGTACACTTCATTCATTCAGTTTGAACAAGCAAATTGACAGCTCAATTTCACTTTCTGGTATCATGCATTATTTGCTTTTTAGACTTGGGTCATTAAAAGTGCCTGTTTAAATTTTTAGGTGCTTGTACATTTTTCTTTCAAATTGCATTGGACCAGTATCCTCCAAAAACTTCTCAGTTCCCTGCAGCTAAAGTCCTGTTCCCTCAAGCTATATTCAGCCTACCCACTTGAGGAAAGGCTGTGAGAATAAATAGGTCTTGTGGAGTGATCTGAAATTCAGCAAACTCAGTCTCTGTCAGACCTAGGGCTGCAAGGAGGATGCAAGGCAGAAAATATCCTGCAGCTTCCTCCCATTTAAACTGGGAGGGGCTGCTACTTCAAGCAACTTGGTTGCAATATCACATGAGGAGGGAGGTGGTTTCTACAGTAGCCAGGACCTAAACCAGTTAGTTTGATAAGACACAAACCAAATGGAAGCCGGTGCACAACACAGCACACATGTAATGTACTTGTATGTTAAGCATACAGTTGGATTGTACACTTGCAGACATTTCCAAATAGTCTTTAGGTGTAGCCCCACAGAGTCCATTTTAATTATTGGCAACAAAAGTGTGGATCACTCTGGCAAGGACCCATTCCCTCCCCATCCCCAAAATGGCAGCCTTCCTGCCCAGTGCACATCAAATTAAAGCAGTATTGGTAGCTACTGCAACCTGGACAAAATTCTCTCAAGAGCTTATTCCTGGAGTAAGAGACTTCTTCCAGTTGTTTTTCCTAGTGATCAAGTATTTCAGCTGTCTCACTGGTGGTTAATTTCAGCCAGTTACCACATAAATGCAGTCCTGGCTAGTCACCACATAAATGCAGATCGGAGACTCTTTGGGTGAAGTGAAGTCCACTTGTAGAGCTGAGTGTTATCAGCATAATGGAGCCCGTGTAACCTCACGTTCTCCCAATGGCCTCATCTACACATGCACAAAATGGGTATCAGAATACATCTCTGAAACCCCACATCAAATTATCTTTCGGCTAGAAGAACAATTGACCCAAATTGCCTGCTGGCATCTCTTAGAAGGAAGGGAGCAGAGTCACTCAAGAGCAGCTTTGTTTACTAATGTTAGTGTCTGCAGGTGAGTGAACAATAGTTCTCATCAAAGGCAGCTGATGGGTCTAAAGAATCAACATGGACACATGTCAATCTGTCATCAGAACAGAATTCAAATACTGTAGTAAAAGCTATAACACCATGATTATCATTTTAATACATATCCCAGTCACGCTTGCTTTTGCCTTCATTTACATAACATAGCTTCAGCTATCATAAAACTTCCTGTTTTCTTATCCGTGCTGCATGCCAGTTATTTTTCACTTGTTGATTTACAAAAACTGTTTAACACAGGGGACAACAGTTTGCACAACAGATACAGCAGCAGAATCCAGAGCTCATAGAACAACTGAGAAATCATGTCCGGAGCAGATCTTTCAGTGGCAGCACTGAAGAGCATTCCTGATTTAAAGGAGGCATGTGGTTGTAGAACTAGAAATGTGAATGGCATATAATCCCAAAGCGCATATAATAGCTAGTAGCAAATGCATCATTGTAACTATTCTGCTTGGACACGAGACAGAAAATCCTTTGTGTCTGTTCGTTAAACAAAGAATAAATCTGTTAAACAGATCTGTTGCACACAAGTTTGAACATATAGTGTGTGTATATATAGTGAATCCTTTATAAATTTAGTATATATTGAATACATTGACTTATTAAACTTCCCATATATAAAAGTTATCATCTTTAGGCTTTTCAAATTAATGAACACTATCTCTTTTAAAGAGAGGCTACTTGCTATGCACCAAGGCTGTGCATTGGAGTGATCTACAGGGCTTCTCAGGGGGGAAGTGAGTCTAATGCTTTAATGGGTGGTGGTGGTATGCCTGCGTAGAAATTTAGTTTTAAAAATTACATTGTAAAAGGCCTGTTGTTCAGTAGTGAAGGTTTCCATGGCTCTGCTTCTTACCAGATCTGCTATGAAACAATAGATCTGACCAGCACTTTGCTCCTTGTGATGAGCCTATGTGGGTGATGGAGTGCAATGTGGATTTAAAACATGTGCCAGAGCGTCAATCCTGTGACTGCATAGCACTGAGTGTCCCTAGTGTTTGTTGAGAGGCTTTTGCTAGCAGCATCATATGCATTTCAACTTTACCTGGTGGGAAGAAGGTGAGTGGTAGAGACTAGGGATGATTAAGAGTTGCACGTACAGAGAGGATGATAAAACTGAGCTAGGAGGAAGATGTGCAGAAATCAGAGGAAGAGACCAGGCCAAGGGAGAAGGAAAGGAATTTCTACTGCTATATATGTCCTCAAATCATCTTAGTAGCCCTGGAGGTCTCCATTATGGCACTAATAGCATAGGCATGGCAAGTTGTGCTTCATTCTTGTGTGTATACAGTATACAACCTAAGTTTAAAAATCCTTAACTGTGATTAGTTAAACTGGTCACACACCTGCACAAGTCATTAGCACTGAAGGTAACTTAGGTAATTAGAACAAAGAAATCAATATGTACCATTGTGCGGTAAATCACTGGCTTAGGGAAAAAACACAGTTAAGGATTTTTGAAGTTTAATTATATCATAACTTGTATATTTTAAATAAGTGATTAATGGTGTACAGGCCATGAAATAGTTCTTTCAGTCTGTTACTCTTCCCAGCCCTCCTAACCAGACACTTTCAGACCCCCTTGCTTTTCTGTATTTTTTCTTTAAATATTTTTGTAACCTGTTTCTCTTCAGTTTGCTATTCATGCTATCTACTGCTGCTGGATAAACTTAGGCTTGGTCTATTCCAGTGTTTCTCAACGACTGGTCCATGAACCCACGCCAGTCCCTGAGATCTCCCTGCCACAGTTTGGGAAGGCAGCAAGCCGGTCCCTGGTATCAAAGAGGTTGAGAAACACTGGTCTATACTACTAAATTTTGTCAATATAACTACATCACTTAGGGGTGTGGAAAATCCACACGCCTGAGCAATGCAGTTATACCCACCTAACCCCTGGGGTAGACAGCACTAGATCAACAAAGCTACCTCTTCTCAGGAAGGTGGAGTGCCTGTGCTGACAGGGGAAGTAGTGTCTTCCCTAAGCGCTCGTGAGAAGACATTGCATGGAATGTAAGCGAGAGCAGAATTTGAAATTAAGGCAGGAGCTCCTTTGAGTTTGGTGATGGGAGGGTAAAAATTCCCAATTTTGTCAGGCTGTATATATTGCACAGGGGGGAAATTTGTAGCTGTGTCCATGGTGAGATGAGGAGAAAAGTTGTCTTAAAAACAAACATGGACAAGAAAACCAGACTAACATTCATTGCATAAGACACTTTATATTTTATTCATTAAATAACTCCTACATGGCATTAGAATATTAGCTTTATTTTTTCTAAAAAGAATGCTATTTATAATTGCAATACATGCTCATTAATGTACTTTGGGGGTGTATTGGAGACATTAGGCAAACATCCCTAAGCTCTAAATTGAATGAGTGCTACTCTGTTTTATTGGCTGACCACATGGAAAGAAGTGCTTACACTGGCTGTGTGTCTGCCTTGGGAGGAACTGACTTATGTAGGTACTTTAGCTTTTTTTCAGTTGTAGTTCAGGTAACTAATATCTGCCTTTAGGCAGATTATTTTTAATAAAAAAAATTGCTTTTTATAAAAACACTGAAAACGGATGAAGCCCCAAACAATAGTTCATTAGGAATCTACATATGCAAAAATAATTTGGCAGATTTTTTCCATAATGCACTTGTTAAACAGACCATTTACACAGTGTATTTTCCACTATATTTCACCATTCCAGCTTTTTAGCAACACCAGTGTCAATTCCAGGTTTTTTTGCACTAAATTTAATAAAGGAAACAAAAAAACAAACAAAAAGTAACAGTGGGGCTTTACAGAAGCTAAGGATGTGCCCCAGTATATTTACCCGTGTCTTCTGACAATCTTCATTTAATATTTTATTTTTCTCTTACCCTCTCCTACTGAAAAGTCTTGTGTAGCTGAGTGTCTTTAATGATGGTTAAGTATAATAATCCTAAACTATACTCTTCTATATAACAATGATATAAACAAAGGTTGGCTGTCAGGGCTCAAAACAGCCACTCTTTCTGCTTGTAGTTATATGTACATGTAGCTACTGAGTATTCTGCAGCTGTCTGTGTTCTGGTAGAGCCAGCCCTGTCAAACTGCTCTGGAGTAGTTATCACTAATGCTATGAACCGTACTCTTGGAACCATGCTTATTAGAAGTTGTAACTTCCATTTTACATACCACACTGTTAAGAATGTGAGTCTTATTCCAGCATCTGTAACAAGAATGCTTCTTTTTAGAGTTTTGATGGCATTACCTAATGCGGGAACATGCCACACTTGTCACAATATAAAACTTACAACTGTCTATTATATTTTGCATATGAACAGATGGGACTTTATAGCTTAATAAAAATAGAACACTGAAATTCCCTAATGGACAGTAGCTGTCATTAACTACTCTTTCCATTTAAGTCCAGGAAGAGTTTTCATTCATGCTAAAATGTATTTTGCCACTCTGCAGGCTACATTGTTCACAATGTCATGACTTGTTTTAATCAGTAGTTGAAGAGAGAGCTTGGGTACTTTGAAAAAAATTCATACTGATAAGTGGAAAACCATGATCTAAACAAATATTGCTTTCATTTTAGACCAACTGCAGTTTCAGTGAACTAAATAAATAATTATGCATTTAAAATTTGTTTGGTTTTCTGTCATTACTGGTGCAGCAGCAAATTCATGTGGTAAGCAGTGGAAAGGGGGGAAAAAATCTTGCAAAATGAAGAGTTTACTTGATTCACACTCTTAAAAGATATGAATGTCAAAAAAGCAGGCTTGTGTGGAAATGTTTTTTTTCATCTATTTGATGTCCCTCTTGAAAAATACAACTAAAGTTGTACTTCAGCACACAGCACCAAACTTAAGCATTTTCTTTTGCTGAAATGCAATTTTGGGTTTTTCCATCAAGGGAGAGGGTAGCCTCTCCATTGTCAAGAGTTCAGCTAGCTTCTCTTATAAAACTGTTTCAACTCTCCTATGATTTTGGCCTGATAATTGCACATTCCTGCTGAAGGCAAAGAAGAATAGTGGCTGCAACTTAAGAGAACTTCTCACAGTTGGAGAGCACTCCGTAATTGTTACAACACTTTCACAATTTGACTTGTCTAAGAGCTTGTCTATGTGGCAAGTCAGGCATGTGAATCTATAACACCTCCACTTACCGCATTATGACTTGCCCTGTGGACACTGCTCTAGTGCACTGAAAGTCCTGGAATGCAGAGTCACACCATGGTTTGCCATACAGTAACTCGCTGTGTAGACAAGCCCCATCACTTCTGTATCTCCTACCTCAAATTACGTTACCATATGGTTACATCTCCTTAAATGTGTATCAGATCAATTTGAAGGTACTTAAGTTCTATTTTTTTGGGGGGGGAGCGGGGGGGTAGTAGTTTTGGTTTCTCTTATTACTCTATTGAACTCTGTGGATTACATGAGGGCATGTTGCCCTTTATTAACTAGCTGAAATTTAGAAGGAACATAAGATTATTGCTGTAGCTGCTATTCTTTAGCTTTTGCTCAACTGATAGATGCATGTTGGTTATTTATTGGGGGAGGGGGAAAGATGAGTGAATTGAAGGCCCAGGCTTGCTCTCTGTAATTTATTTAGAGAACATAATTACAGTGAGGCTAAGATGGAAGCACAGTCCCAGTATTAGTCTAGCTGATTATCTTGTAACGAGATGAGATTCTCATGGTTTTCCAGTGATTAAAAACTATTAATTTTTGTGAAGTTTAGGTATGTTTTGGCCCCTCGCTCTGCAAACAAAGTCACATCACTCCTTCTGGGCCAAGATTTGTCAACATGCCTTGTGATATGAGGCGAGATTAATAAGACAGGAACTTTTCAGCTTGGAAAAGAGATGACTAATGGGGGATATGATAGAGGTCTATAAAATCATAATTTGTATGGAGAGAGTAAATAAGGAAGCATTATTTACTCATAATATAAGAGCTACAGGTCATCAAATGAAATTAATAGGCAGCAGGTTTAAAACAAAAGGAAGTATTTTTTCCACACAATGCACAGTCAACCTGTGAACTCTGCCAGAGGATCTTGTGAAGGCCAAAACTAACAGGTTTCAAAAAAGAACTACGTAAATTCATGCAGGATCGGTCCATCAATGGCTATGAGCCAGGATGGGCAGGGATGGTGTACCTAGCCTCTGTTTACCAGAAACTGGGAATGGATGACAGGGGATGGATCATTTGATGATTACCTGTTCTGATCATTCCCTCAGAAGCACCTGGCATTGGCTACTGTTGGAAGATAGGATACTGGGCTAGATGGGCCATTGGTCTGACCCAGTATGGATGTTATTATGTGATTTTAGGTGCCCAAGTTGACCTACCTTAAAGAGGACCTTATTTTATAAAATATTTTGTCCCCTGTATAAATAACCCCTTTGAGTTGTCAATTTGGATATCCAAAATTGGAGTTACTCAGAATCACTAGTCATGTTTGAAAGGCTTGGCTCTGGGGTGAACTTTTACTGACTTTTTAACCAAACATTATTCCTGGGGGAGAATATATTTGTTAACTAATAACTAAAAATAAAGGGTCAAACCTACCTACATTACTATTAGGCAAGGGGGTTTGAGGAGTTCCTCTAATGCTTCCCACTCCCATTCTCCATCCGTTGTATTGTAGTTTAAATAAATTACTGAAATAATTGAAACCAGAGTGATTATATTGCATTATTTTGACAAATAAAATATGCAGAATTTTGCAGTTTTTTAAAATATTGTGCACAGAATTCTTAATTTTTTGGTGCAGAATTCCCCCCAGGAGTACAACATGCAGAGTGAAGGTAGGCTGTGTTGTTCATGCATACATGGCAACTTAGCTATTTTAGGAGGAAGCTATCAATCAAGCATATATTGATTAAAACAGCTCTGAAAGAGTAAGTTTAGCTTGGCCACTACCACTTGCTCTCTTAATTTATTAATCTAGTCATGATCCATCCCATATATTTAAAAAAAAAAAAAACACCTCTCTCCATTTACCTATACTTAAAAAAAAAAATGATAATAGTGGAAAGTCTAAAATAAACATTTCAAACTAGGCAAGATTGCTGTGCGATAACCCTGGCGGAAAATGTGAAAAGCCAGAGAGAAGGACTTTTCTTTATTTAGTCTTGAAAATAACCTGGATATAGGAACCGGCCACTTCGGGTAAGTATGAAATTATCAACCAACACAAGGCCATGGGGAAAAATGTTTACTGTGTGAATACAAAAAAAGTTTCCACAGTCTATTATGAAAAAATGGACTGTCCCCTCTCCCCGCAACAATTCATTCTAATTGTGTATCAGGTAATTTCCAAGAGTATCCAGTGACAGGGGCTGGATGCTGCAGGGAGCACTCCAAGGACTCGGGTTGGTATGTGTCTATCACTATCCTGCACAGAGAGGGCGAGGTGTGCAGAGTGCTTGTGTGTGACAGGAGGTGTTGGTTTCAGGGAGCTGAGTCACAGCAGGCGGTAGACAAAACTGCTGCTTGCTAAGGGCAGGTAGTGGAGAGGTGCCTCACAATTCTGGGTACCCGGGGGAAGCGGGTGGTGCTTGCACCCTGGAGTTCAAGTCCAAATCCTCAAGTCCCTGACAGAAGAAGGGTGAAAATGAGAACTGAATTTTAATAAAAAAACAACAAACCTTGCAATTTAGAGGCTAGTCCCTCCAACTTAAAGCAGTTCTGCAGTCAGTGCCACAATGGGCACCCCTTTAAAGCCAGCAGTGAAGTAGATAACTTCGTTCTTAAGATGGCTGCATATTCAATACAATAGTGCAAGAAATCTTGGCAGCTGCATTTTCAGACTTTAAAGATTTTATTTTCAAATAGATAAAATATGTATAGTTATCTCTTTAAAACGTATTTTAAAACATTCCAAAAATGCTCACAGAAGACACAAATAAATAAACATTCTTATACCGTTTGCAGATGTTTTAAACATGATTTGGCATCATTCAGATGTAAAATTTAGGAAGTTGGTCCAAGAAACCCCAGGGGAAATGTTAAAAGGATTTTTCTTCAATGTTCTTTTACTTTTGAAGAAATTACACAGACTTGTGCAATATCATCATACTCGTATGTTCTCTTCAAAAACGTGTCCATTAGTCTTAAGCCAGAGACACTCTAATGGGAAAAAGATGTGTACAAATTTTAGTAAGTAGATAATAAGTTTTGCACTACTGTGATCATAAAATAGCCACTACATACATATTATATCTCACAGTTATGTTGTTAAACTGATGTCTCTTACCTGTAGTCCCTGTACTGAAGACAATAGTGTAAGTGCAAGATGAAGGGATGAACTGGGGTGTAGCTTTCCAAGCTGTCTTCCTGAAACTCCACACCAGTGAATGGAATTAGTATTGCACATTTCCAAAACCAGATCCATAGTTCTTTCACTGCTAGATGAAAGCAAACAATAAGGAATAAACCTAGTTCTTTACCATTCAAGAAAGACTACAGAAGTACAATAGCTTGACAATTCTGTGAGCACTCATTAGAAACTCCTGATATGAATGGTTTATTACTGAAGTTAAGGTGATCTATTACAAGTCAAAGTCTCAAAAGTTAGTCGGTTACATATTTGTTTTAAACATGTAACAATTTAACAGTGAGATGGTAGCCATGCTAGGATACCATAATATCACTTCTTGTCCCATGTGTAAGACTACCAAAAAGGATAAATGCAGAATAATTGCTTTCCTTTACTTCCTGGCCTCAGCTACTGCTGAGAATTACATTATTTTTGGTACTTTTACAATCCTACTGTAGCATGACTATTACAAGTCATGTCAAGTGCCAACTTGATATTCAAGACTTAGATAGATTTAATTAAAAAAAAACAATTGAACAATGATTCTGAGGGGTTGCAGGAGAAGTGACAGTTAATGTTGACACTGAAAGTATCCTTTATTCTTATGGAAATTAGTTGAAGTAGTTTAACTTAGTGTTTACGTTTATGCTAATCATGTAAGATGTTTTGTAATTTAAAACTTGTATCCACATTAATATACAAAATAACAGTTACACCGACTTCCATCACAGAATTTTGGCAACATCCAAAGCCATTCCAGTAGTATCACCACCACCCTTTGGTGTAATTATATATTTATAATTTATATTTATGATCACTTTAATTTACTCTAATATAAATGTATTTCAAACAAAGGGTAGCAATATGTGGCATTATCTATATAGATATCCATCTACAAAGATGCATGTTTAAAATTTACTTTCGCAGCAAGCACTAAAAAAACCAAACTTCGCCTATCAAAAAAAAAATCTCAAAAACCAATTGATATTACCTGCAATTTGTTATTTTACACGTAATGTCAAAAGGCTCTTCCAGATTTACAGTATCTGGTATAGTCTCCAAAGAAAGTCTTACATCACCATAACCTGGGGCCTGCAGAGGTACAAGAATAGTTAGCTTTTCAAGTGATTAATAACAAAGCTGAAGTACTGTACTGAACTTTCATTTCGTCTAGTCAAACAAATTTAAACTAAGGCCATGTCTACACTTACAAACTGTATTGATTCAGCTGTGCCGCTGTAAAAGTGCTCGTGCAGTCACGTTATGATGATGGGAGAGAGGTCTCCTGTCAACATAATAAAACCAGCTCAACTAGTGGAGGTAGCTATGTCAACAGAAGACCGTCTCCTACTGATACAGCACTGTACACATGAGCACTTATGCTGGCAATAAACTTATGTCATTCTGAGGGTGTTTTTTTCACACCCCTGAGCAACAAAAGTTTTGCTGACACAAGTGCTAGTGTAGAAATGGCCTAAGAAATAGAAAGAAAAACAAATACATTTATCACAAGTTAAGATGGGGAAAGACAGAGGAAAAATAACAAGATCTGAACTGTACACTCCTTATGATTAAGTTTTCCAATTTCTTAATTTAAGTTTTTAATGTGAGCCACATTTCACTCTCTGAGGGTGATAAAATCTTTCTTGTGCTCAAAAGCAAGCAACGGCGTGGATAATGGAAATATACGTTTCCCCACACTATCCCACTAATACATCTCATCCTTGACAGAGTTATCGATTCTATGAGTCAGAGGATAATAAATCTCTATATCCTTTGTCTATAGAACCTCTACCAAGACTGCCAAAAATATTGCTAGTAACTGGGTGGCATTTGATGTTGACACTTGTCCACTACAATTTGGATTGAGACTCAAGTCATTTTACACAGCTCACTGGTATAGCTATCATATTGCAGAGGCTTTGGTTACTCCCAGCTTGGGCTGAATTCAAGCCAGCAAACTGGAGATAAAAAGCTCTACGTTCTATTTCCAAAAGCCTTAACTGTCCATTCCCACCTGCCTTTTTTCTTTCTTCCCTCTCCTGAGTCTCACTGAGATGAAGCACTTAAATACTAGGGTAGTGGTGGTATGTTTATAATATGTTTTCCTGTATGAAATATAACTTTTCATATGGCATCCTTCAGCAAGTATCACAGAACACTTTACAAAGAAGTGATGCAAAGAGATAATGATTGACAGAGGGGGGAACACATACTTGCTGGCAGGCTGAAAGGCATATATGAAACAGAGAAATATGATTAATTTTTAAAAGTGTAGATGTGCAAGGAAAGCCTTCTTGAACACTAAAGCAAGTAGACAAGTACTAAACTCATTTGAAGAGCTGAAACAGTTGCTTAAGAGAGAATTCCATATCAATACAGCAGCTATAAAAAAGGACAACCTTTAACTTATGGGATTTGAGGGGAAGAGACACAAGAGGCAAACACACGAGAAGCAGGCTAAAATGGGCCATCAGATATGTTCAGTGGGATTGGGAGATAGGAATCCAGTGAAGGTGAGGAAGAATGGAAAGGATCTGATCCCATTTCATAAACGAGAGGGTAGTTTGGCCACATTATTTGTCACAAACCAAGGAGTAGGTAGTGCTGCCTAGTGGCCAGAGCAGAATCAAGAGGGCAGAACCGGAGGTGTGGTCAGGAGGCAAGCCAATGATCGGAGTCAGGAGTCAGAACAGAACCAAAGGGCAGAGCTGGAGTGGTCACGAGACAAGCCAGTGGTCAGAGCCAGGTGTTAGGAATGAGGCATTCACAGGTAGGCAGAGTCTAGGGCTGGAGTGGAGCAGGCAAGGGGTAGAGAAAGGGTTCGGTAGGAAGCAGGTCTGGTGCAGCTGTGGGCATGGAACACATTGAGCAGCCCTTGTATTGCTGTTACTAAGGGCTTCAATGATCATTTATTGGTTCTTCTGACCAATCAGGTAGCATAGTCACTTAGTCAGGGCTTATTGGGCCCACTACAGCTCATTCAGTTGCTAGCCCCAAATCAGATGAGTTCCTGACTGTATTCTAAGATTCTCTCAAGAGTTGGGATTAAGAAAAACAGCAGTGCCATTCAGCAGTAGAATGTTAAGGTCTAGCAACATCTTACGGAATTAAGATTGGAAGACAGACAGAGCTGATGAGCCAGAGAAGAGATGGATTTCACATGCACAAAGCAATATATAAAGTTGAAGCTAACAATTAGACAGTCCAGAATGAGAAGAGGCCAAAAGTGAAGCCCTAGATACGAGAAAATGGAAGGGAACATCGAAAGCCTTCGTCAGAAATGAAAGAGTACCACTAAGTGTATGAATTCAGTTAGACACCAGGTTTCTGCTTGAGGTGCTTAAGAATTGTATTGTGTAAAGCCACATAGACAGAGAAATTGGAAAAGAAGGAAAGAAAAATATTACCAGAGGAAAGGGGTATGTCATTAACCACGCAGAGAAGGGCAGCCTCAGTGCTGTGACAGAGAGCAAAGCCAGACTGTTCTACCCTTTTTAGAACCTTACTTGGAAAATCGTATGAATAGGGTAAGACTATTTAGCAAGCAAGGAAAGGTCAAGTCAGTATTTGTAGAAGGGGATGACAAGCAGTGGTTCAGAGTTAATGTGAAAGCCAGCAGATATTAAGGGTGAAATTCTGGACCCACTGAAGTAAAAGGCAAAAAACTCCCATTAAGTAATGGCAGGAGTGATAAATAGTAAAAGTAGGTTAGCAGGAGAAAATGAATGAATGAAGAGGAATCTAGCAAGGAAGTAGTTTGACGGGACTGAAAGGTCAGAGGAGAGAAGTGTGGGAGTCAAGTTCTAATTGGATAGTGAGAAAAATGAAACATTTGTGAGCCACGCAGCATGTATCTTTGAAATAGCTAAGGGTAGAAAACGCCTCACAGCTCTCATTAGAAAGAGGGCTACTGTGAACCACTGGTTTACAATGACAAACTAGAAGTGAACCCATCTCTGAAATTTGGAGATTCATTACATAGTCAGCTGCGGTTTCCATATGCCCAGTGAAGAGGAAACTGAGGAGTACTACTGGCTTTTCAAGCACCAGCAGCTGGAGTTAAGCTACTGGACATAATCAAATTACCAAGTAAGTGTGTCCAATGAGGAAGGGGACAGAATGAAAGAACTCTGATTTTTGGTGGGAAAAGTCTGTTTTAAAGGGGAAAGGGTTTATGTTAAAGAGGAATTAGCGATAAGGTAGGCTGAAGATGGGAGAGTTGGTTGACAAAGGACATAAGCAAGCAGGCTAGAGGTGCATCAGTATACCTATGAAGTCCTAGTGATGTGAACAATAATGATGATATCTACAAAATCGTGGCACACAGTTACTAGATGAAAGGTGCTTACAGAAGGGACCATTTCCAATTGGATGTGGGGGAAAAAAGATGCTTGATGTAAACGTACATACAAGTAAAAAGGGAAAGAAATGTCAGTAATTCGATGTGAACTTCCAAGTGACTCTCAGAGTAGCAATGCTGCATTTCAGGTTTGTCTTTCATTGATTCCATATCCGACATACTGTTTATAATGAGACAAGTTAGGGGAAGTAATATCTTCTATTGGACCACCTTCTGGTGGTGGAAGGTACAAGCTTCCGAGTATCTTAAGAGCTATGTGAGCCTCAAAAGCTTACATCTGCCAGTAATAGAAAATATTACCTCACCTACCTTGTCTCTCTCAAATCTTGAGGCAAAGACAGCTACACCGCCACTGCAAACAACTGGTTACAAAGAGACATTTTTCCTGACTGCTAGTTCTGCAAGTGCAGCCTGGGATGCAATTGTCAAGTTGGTATGTGGGAAAGGAAGAACCCCTCACCATCAATAAAGGTGCTGCTACAAGCCAAATTTAACTCTTTGTGATGGGGTTGCACAGATGACCGATTGGCCCTGTAATAAGAACTTGTACGCAACTGTTGATGAGTCACAAGAAGGAAGAATAGAATTCACTCATTTTTGCAGTGTTGGCTCTCCAAAGCTAAGAAGAGTAAAATATAAAAACTATTTTCATTAGAATAGTTCATTATGTTCTTCTTAAGAAAGCAGATGAGTCCAAATGTACAAAGGGAGCAGATCTGTGGGATAAGAGAGGAGCCATATTTAAAGTCACTCCCTTTTGAGACAAGAACTCCACTTCAATATGTTGGCAAACTCCAATCAAAGAACTAATTTTTCTTTATTATCTGGTACTTTGGTAAATTAAATGCTTTACTCTTGCAATTCTAAATTTATGATCTATTAAGTTATGTGGTTCAATGTCTCAAAAATGGACATGTTGCTATGCAAAGTAAAATATCAAGCAAGCTGAAAGGAATTTTGCCTCTCATACACCCACAAATATCAGGAAAACCAGCATTATTGTTCAGCTATGCTACCTCAGGAAACATGGTTTTTCACACTTCATAGAGCAAGTCTTTGCTGAAAATTTATACTCCATAGTTTTCCAAAATGTGTGTGAAGTATAAAGACACATGTTGAATTCAGAATAAGTTCAGCTAGCAGGCAGGCACTGTGAACTCTTTTCTTTCTTGTCATGGTTTATGTATTCAATTTAGCATTCAGTCATCTTGAAAATGGATTTTTTGATTGTAAAAGACCTACCATTCTTTGGAGCTGGCTGGTCTGCAACCTTCCCCGTTCACCTAAGTTTGTTTTCCATACGATGTCTAGTTTTCCAATTACTGTTACACCTTTAATCACTCCAGCTTTCTCTGCAAATTCCTGCTTGGGTTTTAGGCAGTATAAATACTGACGAGTATCCATAGGTTGTAAATATGTCCTTGAACCAAATGTAGAGACACTAGAAGAAAGAACATTGTTCCTCAGTTTAGACTGTTCTTTTCAACAGGATTCTTGATCTTAGCCTTAGCAATAATCCAATAAAATCCTATTTACTTTGTGTGTGGTTTCTTATTCAAAGTTGAAAGATGCCTACAGAAAGTCGTTCTTACAGAAACATGGAAAATAAGCTAAGCAGAGACAGTGATCATGCCAAACAAGGAAAAACAAAGTATACTGAGAAGAATTCAGGATCAAGGAACTAATTTAAAATATTTATAAGTATAATAACCATGAGGAGTATATTTACATGTGGGGAAAAGCTGTCCTGGGAAAGTCAGTTTTGCTAAATTATAGCTTGTATTGTCCATTAGTTTCTAGCCTAAATCATAGTCTTCTGGTGACACTTTGTGGTTTTTTTTTTTTTTTTTTTTAAACAGGATTATCTAGTTTAGACAAGGTTTGTACACAACTTTGAAAAAGTAAAGCACTATGAAAGTTTTAAGTATCATTTTAGACCAGCGTATTAAAACATCAGCCTCATTTTAAATTCAAACAAACAGCTGTAGCATTGCTCCATTTATCACATATATTAAGTAAGAGATATAATTTGCACTATATTCAGCCTGGGTTCAAGGTGGGTGGGAGAGGGAGAGAGGTAAATAAGAACTTGGCAACATAATGTGCAAAAATGTAACTTCTATATTTCATCCAATAATATTTGTCCTAATAATTTGAGAAAGGCATTCTATGTACAGGAATGGAGCTGATCTCAAAACCTTAACTAAGTACACGATCAGAGGCCTGCTTTGTCTTTATATCTGTTAAAATTAATATAAAACAGACAAAAGTAGAATGTGAATAAATATTCTAAATATCAGTAATATTTCTAGCCAAAACATTTATGTTAACAAAAAAAAGAAAAAAAAAAGAAAAAAAAAGAAAAAGTTTAATGAGGCTGCCTGTACTCCCTTGTGGAAAAAAACACTGCAGTGTGTGAATAAGCAAAGAACTCTACAGATGACATGTTGGCCAAACTGACATTCTTCCCAACACCACTAAGGTCTGCTGAAAGAGGTTTTATAGTGAAGGGGGAAAGAATCTATTTTAGGAAACTGGATTCACTCATTCGAACCTGCTTACAGCATACTGATAGTGTTCTAAGTTGCATTAAAAATAATCCACACACCAGGTAACTTTAATAACCTACCAGTTCAATTCTACAGCCTAGAGCAACATCTACTGTAATATTAATAAATTCAAGAGCAAATTAGGCTAAACACCATCCTGTAGCACCGAAGAATTGAACTGGTAATAGCACAATGGCACTCCCTTTCTCAAAAGCTTCCTGAGATGTTACTGGAACTGGTTGCTCCACCAGAGGCTCAGCTATCTTCCAACCAGAAGGAACAGGTATTTTAGCTGAGGAAGACCAATTCAAGTTGGTGAAAGCCGATGGCTTTCGGCACAGTCCAAGGACAGCTGGGCTTAAGAACTGTATACTAAAAACCTAGCACTGGCAATTCTTCCTATCTTTTAGTATCACCACTTCATCCTGCTAGTGAAGAAACACATCAACACTGTCCCCACTCTTCACCTGCAAAATCTCAGATGACTTTGTCTTTCTTTGCATTGATTCTTGGTCCAGTCCTCTCTGCCACTGCCGCTATCCCTGATACCCCATTATTCAGCTCTTCCGTGCTGTACCTACACAATAATGCCCTTCCTGAGCTGGTCTACTATACCATTTAGATGCCATACTATAGCACTGCTCAACTGGGGAAGCCTGATCCAGAAGTGGAGAGCAAGAGTGCACCTGGTGGGTTACATCATGCTGTCTGAGAACTATTTAAAATCCAACAGCAGCTCAATCCCTACTCTTATCTCTGCTTCTGTTACCCTCGGTCCCCTCACACCCAATCGCAGAGCATCTCTTCCACCATCCCTGTCCTGCATGTAATTCTGCTCAAGGACAAGGGAAACAGTGCTGCATGGAGGGCTGGTGTAGGCTTTACAGCCCATAGGAACAATGCTTCCTCTGCCCTGGAGCTGAGCCCTCTACAGGCAAGAAGAAGTCACACTTTACCCCACAGCAACAACATAATTCCTAACTTACTCCCATTTTTGGATCTGACACACAAAATGACCAAAAAGTCATCCATTATTCAAATCCCACACTCTTTTGCAACAGAAGGATTGTGGGATATGGTGAGTCACAGGATGATTTTCAGTCATTTTGTGGTTCATGGACCAGAAAAGGTTGCGAACTGGCGCTGTCGCATATATTAATATAAATACTACATTTTTCTAGGATCTTGCAGGGCCATTCTGCTGACCTACCCTGGCAGCCAGCTCTAGTGAGTCTTATTAGCTATAACTGAGAAGTACAAAAGGGTTAAAGCTCTCGCAAAAGCAGAAAGCAGTGGGGGCAAGGTCAAAGGTGTCCTGCAGGGAGAAATCCTAGGAAGAAGCAAGGTTAGAAAGAGCTCAGGCTAAAGTTTGTGTTTAAGTAAACAATAAATGAAACACCAAGAAGGGAGTACATTTTCAACATATCTAGTTGGTGTTTATCATGTAAGGGGCAGGTTAGCAACACCATCCGTTTTCAGTGTCTGAGTACAAATATGACGGTAAAAAATAGCATCTATACAAAGAAAACTTTTGTACCCTTTCCCACTCCTACCTCTACATGTCAGAGTAGGGGCTCAATTCTCTAGTTTCCCAAAGGAGAGTTGAGTACTAAAGACTACTAACATGATGCTAATTTTAACTTTTATCTTTAAAAAATTATATTTAATATAGCAGTTTGAGTCAAACAGGAGCTTCTCTCTGAATTTTTCCTTACCTTTCCCCAGCTTTGTTGACAGTATTTAGTTCTGCTACGTTGTACATAATAGATGGCTCTAATGAAACCTTCTCCATAAACATCGGAGAGGTTGTAATATTCTGAATCTGAGCTTCCAGAAATACTTCATCTGTCTGAAAAAGCAGAGGACCAGGTTTATAAAGATGTTACTAGGATTGTAAATAAAGTGCAGTGTCTTATTGTTTGAAAAATATTAAATCACAAAATGTGATTAGTTCATGCCTGCAAATCAAAGCTACAGTAAGTAATGCAAGAAAAAAATCTGCATCCCAATACAATTAATGGGAGCAAAAGCGTTAGTTTATTTATCTTGCCAAACAATGGATGTGGGATAGCTGTACTACATTCTATCACCTATTCTTTTAAAAGGTTTTGAATGATAACTTCTCAAGGCTTTCTTCAAGTCAGCAACAACTTAGCTTTTATTTAAGATAATTTTTGAAGTAATAGAACGAAAGTTAGGGAATTGCAATGTACATTAAAGACATGCCATGCCAGATTACTGGTGCATCAAGCTAAGTACAAGAAAAATAAATATTACAGGAATATTTAATACGGGTAGTTTATTTATGGAACTGAAATACAAGAGATTAGATATATGCTCTGAGCTTCTAGTATTACTTTAAAAGGACATTGAAATGTACTAGCTACAAAGCAATCCAATCTCCTCCCTTGTTCAGCTACATCATGCAACAGTTACTAACATTATGTAAATCCATCATTTCATTGGCACTCTATATCCAAAAATTCTATGAGAAACATCAAGTCTCCTTTAGTGTTCACGTCCAAGAATGGTACGTGCAAGGTGCTCTATAATGGGAATCAGGCTGCACATGGTTTCAAGTGTGCGAGTTCAGATGGAGGCTGCCAGTCACCAAGAAAGATAGGGTTTACCCTTCAGCATAGAAAGCAAGGAACTGGGTGTGTGTATTATTATGGCTCCTCTAGAGTCCCACGTAGGTGACAACACCTTGAAGTTCTAAAATCTTAAGACTAAAATAATTGCTGGAAAGTCCAGGTTATCAGAGGCAAAAAGCATTGGGAGAACTGAAAAGAAATTCCTTTTGTAATTAGTTAAGGACCAATTCTGCACCAACTAAAGTCAATGGGGCTTGATGATTTCAGCAGGAACTAATCTGGGCCCCTTGGTAGGATTAGGGAAAGGGTACAGATTCTCTCTCTTTTACGTTTATAGGGTTTTTTTTGTTTTTTACTTTTCTGATTGTCTGCAAATATGTCTCATTTTATGTTATGCAAATAGGGTCTTTCATGTAAATTAAAGCGGACAAAATGGGATAAATATTCTCCGATGATTTACTCTCAAAAGATGCTATATTAAAAGCAGAAGCATGGAAAGGTATTGGAGACCTCCATTATGTCCTAAAAATGTAAAAAACAAAAACTGAGGAATGATAACAGTATACATACAGTAATGAAAGCCCACCAAATCCACATGTTACGGACAGGTCCAACACTTGTGGAAGAAGGTGGAGAGAGATTCAGATAAAATGCTGACCTCGTAACTAACATTTCTCAATTAATATAGTGTGTGCCGATTTAACAGTTTAAACTATCATCCAAGTATCTCTATGGACTTAAACTCTTACTGTTTGAAAAAATATATATATCTATATATATCTATCTATCTCCCATAAATCCATTGCTTAAAATCTCCATTTACCCAAATATCACATCAGTTATTTTTAATGCAGCAACCATCAGCAAAAATTTAGAAAGAGCTCTGTTGAAGGGGGGGAAAAAAAAAGCAGCATAATGAAAAAGCAAGTTAGTTTAATAAGGCCAAGGCTGATTCGTTTTAATAGTATGGTTAAAGTCAAGTGCTTATAAAGAATTCAGTTCATTTTAACACAGCGCACACCTTAACCCTTGAAGTAAAATAATAATGCAGAAATACCATACTAAATCATCACTGCATGCAATCAAAAGTTTGAAAGCATAGTTGTAACTAGCATGAAGGAGGATATAAGACATTTGGTGCTCTCTCCTGAAACCCACTGTCTCCACCTGCTGCAAACAGAAAAGGGATCTATTACAGCTTAAACAAGAAGAGAATCTTGTAGCTGAATTTAGATACTGGAAACAGCTGATTACTAATGTTCTACATTCTCCCAAAAGCAAAAATGTAAAAAGGGATTAAACTCAGTTTCCCCAAACATGAAAGAAACCATTACAAATCTCTTTGTCAAGTTAAAAAATAAAATTAAAAAAAAAAAAAAGATAAATACATATGCCTGCTAAAATTATGGTAAAATAACTTGTAGAATTACCATCCCAAAAAAGTCTCAACTTTTGGTTTCAACAATGGGTATTAAAGAAAGAGCTAACATTTTAAAAGGATTATATATAGCTGCATATATTAAAAAAGAATGGATGTGAAAGTATCAGTTAATTTTATGCAGAACATTCTTTTCCATTATGTTTTTAAAATAAATAATCTTAACAGGCACAGAGACAAATAGAAGACAATTTAAGAAAGCACATATATTTATAAAAAAATAAATAAAAATTACCACAGAACTGAGGTCACTCTAATGGGAAAATAAAAAAAAAAAAAGACAGCATTAGATAAATTAGGGTTAAATGTTAAGAAGGAGGATAACTAACTTTCAAACAAAATGCATTTCTGCATTTTTTGTTCTTTCTAAATAAGACAGCATTAGTAAGAGAGGAATGTAAATAAAAACAGATACAAACATATATGACAACTATATTTCTAACAAGGTACAAGTAGTATTGTTAAATGGTTAACTTTCATTGCTTATAATCACACCTCTAATTTTTCTGAATGCTGAAGAACAAATCCAATATGGGATAGGTTCCGAGTACAAGGTGAGTGAGCTACAGATAAAGGTATGGTGGGATAAGCTAATAAAATCAAAGGTGGTTAGTCCTTGGGCAAGACTGAACTGGCCAAGTTTATTCCTAGTGCAAATCCATATTGCAATTTTTTTCTGAGATGGGTGATGATCCTTGTCATCTTTCCAGAAGAATGGAACTGTTCATATATAAGGCCAGGAAAAATGTGATATATGCTTGCAAAATACTCAGCAAAACTCAGAATAGCAAGTTCCCAGGAAAAGCCTATTACTACAGACAAGTTCCTCAACAAGGCTAATTGCAACTGTAGGCTTTTTTTTTTTTTTTTTTTTTTTTAAAAAGGCCCAGTGCAGCAAATACTTAGGCAAGAGAGTACTTGTACTCAGATGACTGCAGTGTTTGCAGGACCAGGATCCTTCAGGCCTGATCCAAAGCCCATGAGAACCTTTCCACTAACTTCACTGGGTGCTGGTTCAGGCCCTAAAATTCCAAGGAATAATGTCTTCCTGTTCATTTATATAGCACGCAACAAATCCTGGTTCCGATCCTGATTTGGGACTCTTGGTGCTACTGCAATACAAACAAAGACCTTACATATGACCCTTTCTCTTGTCTCAATAGGAAACATGTTATAACTTGTTATTGGAGAGTGGCAATCCATTCTCTCTAGCGGGAGACCTTATGAATAGGTAATATTCCATTTGTAGTAGTCCTTGCAGTAATTTAGCAGGTTAATCACCCTTTAAAACTTTTAATTACTAGATCTTATATACACACATATAAAATACCTTATTTATAGCTCCCTTTTATACCCAAGGATCATTTTCCTTTCTTCACAATGAGAAGGCTTCAGATTTCATCCTTCCAACAACGTTGCTATTAACATAATACTACATGGAACTTCCAACCAAATAATTGTTTTTGATAGCTCTTCATTTTGATTTTAGCTTTCCAATTATCACAAACAGCAGTGCTAATTATACTTTAATACATGACATTACAAACCAGAAAAATCCATTAATTGTATTTGCTATGCAAACAAAATTCTTGATAAATTTGGACTATTTATTCACAAAGTTTTCTTATTGAAATTATTCTGTTTAATCAGATAGATACAGCGTGGTCACATACTAGGATAACAATGCTGTCTGAATTCCTGGACAGATAGAACAAAATGTATTATAACAGCCTTGCAAAAATATTTAAAAATTTAACAGCTCAAGCACCAAATCTACCTGGCCACCTTTTACCGTGATTATGAGGATGGATGGATAGATAACAGTGGAATGAGGGGAAAAGGAAGGTATTTCACTCACCTGTTAACATTTTCCCCCTTCCCCGAGACAAGTGGGCAAACAGAATTTTGGAAGGCTGTAACAGTTATACCATCATATAGTAATTCAGTATTTTTATTGCAGACCCATATTTTCAGAGATTTGTTCGTGGGCCTTAAAAATAACTGATCCGAGCTAAAACTTGGTATAAGAGTTCAGATTTAAGAAGTTTTTTTATATTCTCATGTAATTCAGAAAAATGACCTGCTCTTTAAAAATTTCATGTACAGATTCGGTTTCCATTCTTCATGAGGGTATTTCAGGACAATAGGACATTCCACTTACAGAGTTAGATGGCTAACCTCTGTGCTCTTTCCAACTGGAATACTGCTACTGAAGCAATAGTATATCCATGATACAAAGCAGAAGCATTTATTTTGCCCCTTGGAGAACTTTACTTTACCAATGGCACATATATTTGCCTTGCAAGAGTATACTGTTAATTTTCAGTGACAAGAATATTTAAGAAGATAATCCATTTTACCCACTCAGATTCTGAGACTGTTTAAATACCTCACTCTGAGAGAGTTTAGTTAAAGTAGAAGGACTCAGCCTTGCAAGATTAGATTAAATTTAATCATATACTTTAAGAAGACTTTTAAAAATTTAATTCAGTTTCAACTTCTTATACCTCTTTCCTGAATTTTAATATGAGTAAAAACCTAGTAATTAGTGTGCTACTCATTGGCAGCTCAGGGGAAACAGCCACAGACTGCCTGTGTGACCTTGACAAGAAGACAATCTTTGTGCCTCAGGTGCCCATCTGTAAAACAGGAATAATAATCCTTCCCTTCCCCTGCAATTTATCTGTCGTTTATTTAGATGGCCAGCTCTTTGGGACAAGGACTGTCTCTTAGTATGCGTATGTTCAGTACCTTGCACAATGGAGCCCTAATCTTGATTGCAGATTTTAGGTATCAGTGTGCATGATTACACCTCTAGGAAGTCTATAGTTTTCTTTAATCAAATCCACTCACAGTACATATGGACTTTATATGTTAGCAAAATAGTTTAAATAAGTTTCATGCAGAGGGTTTTTTATTGATTTTATTTGGTGGGGAGGGGGGTAAATCTTCTCCAGCTCCATGCATTTCAGTTCCTCCCATCCCCTTCCTTCATCCTATGCTTAGGTCCTAAAATTAATGAAGTAAGTATCTTCAACTTTATTTTTGTGCAATTTCCTTTCAAATGACTCCCCTCAGATTAGACCAGTGGTACGTACCTCTGGTAGTATACAAAGATCTTCCAGGGGGTACATCAACTCATCTAGATATTTGCCTAGTTTTACAACAGGCTACATAAAAAGCACTAGTGAAGTCAGTGCAAACTAAAATTTCATACAATGACTTGTTTATACTGCTCTATTTACTATACGCCAAAATGTAAATACAATATTCATATTTTGATTGATTTATAAGCAAGCAAGCAATTTTTTCCAGTAATAGTGTGCTGTGACACTTTTGTATTTTTATGCCTGATTTTGTAAGCAAGTAGTTTTTAAGTGAGGTGTAACTTGGGTGTACACAAGATCATTCAGCTCCTGAAAGGGGTACAGTAGTCTGGAAAAGTTGAGAGCCACTGGACGAGACAAGAACATTCGGTGGAAGTTTCTGATGAAATGATCAGCAAAGAAATAGTTACTTTATTTAGTAACTCCAACATAATTTAACACCCACCTTGCAACATAAAATCTTGAACCATCTTACAAGCATTGATTACCAGTACAACATTGCTTTGAGGATAGTACTAAATTCATGTCAGAGGTAGAGAATATTAAGAAGAAATTAAGTGACTCGCCCAACACCATACAGCAAATAAAGGATAAAGCTAGGAACAGAAGCCAGATTTCCTGGCTACATGTCTTGTATTCTAATCCTAAAGGTTACCATGGAAGATTAAATTCTGCAGAAAATTTAGAAAATACAAAAGTCCACAGGGGAACCCCTAGATATACAGAATACACTGAAATTCCATTTGCAAAAGTTTCTAGTGCCCATAAAGTCGTAAATAAAAAAGGGAAAATCTTCTATAAGTCTCTAATTAAAAGCATAAAAATCCAAAAGATGGATAAAATGAGTACATACAAATATGTAGCACTTATATAATGTCTTATATCTTTGAAGTGCTTTGTGCATGTACTTATATAAATGACACAGATATAAGACATTTACGTTACAGAAAAACCACGTTCACATTAGAGCTAAACAAAATTTTCCTGAAGCCAGCCAAATTAGTACTTTGATACTGAGCACAATTAATCCTCCTTATGAGAGTTTAAACAGTACTCTCCCAGTCAGCCTTAAAATATTTGTTACAAAACAGAAATACAGGCAATTGTGATTGCAGTTATTAAACTTCATAAGGAGAATGCAGTACATGCGCATATTGTTACTGGATCAAAAACAAACATATTCCTTAAATCTGAATTTATTTCTCCCTTTCTCAGCCCAACATTGAAAATGGATGATGAAATGGACATTCCATGTCTGGCTTGTTGTAATAAAAGGGTGAAATCAAAGTAAATTAGTCTTTTTTCATAGAAGATATAAACAAGGCTGGTACAACTAGCACCTCAAAGGTACTACATTTATTTAAAAGAAACTTTTCATATTTAACCTTAACACTATTTGCTATGCAGTACGTAAAATTTAAAAACCTCACACTTACCTCAGCATTATAGAATTTTGTTTTTACATCTAGTGGTTTGAGAACCTGTTTGAAAAAAGAATACAGATTAAAAAGGGCTTTCTCAGATTTCTTTACCATTATTAAAAAAAAAATACTGATTTAAACTGTTATTTCTTAGGTTCTTAAATACTGAGATATCTACTCAAATTATAAAAAAGTGTTTTTCTTTCTGATCTAGCAGGAAAGCAACATATGTTAATGTAATGCATAAGAGTTAGCTCCTAGGATTCTTTCAGTTAAGAGATGCAGCACTACTCTTGTGTACAATTGCTTCTTCTTAGCTACATACTTCATTGCTTTGCTAAATGTATGAATAATTTGACAAGGTGTTGGAAAATGCTTTCATATAAGAAAAAGTCCTCTTACACTGGGAGAAAAATCTATTTTACGCAGTTGATCAGTCTCTTTAAAATAATGATACACTCTTCTTCACTATTCAAAAAAAGGGTTTTTTGTTTTGAAGAAACAAAAATGTGAAAGATTTGCATCAAATTTCCCCCAGAGTTTTACAGCAAATGCAGCTTGCCTAGGAACTCAAATACTAAGTATAAACAAAGCAATGAAATATCAGAGGTATGCAATTAACTAATCAAACAATTTCTGACTCAGCCTTCTAATTTAAAAAACAACTGTTACATCTGCAGTGGAGATTATTAGAAACAAGCTAACGAGCATTTTAACCACATAAAATGAGCCATTATATACACAATCCGAAGACACACTCCTCAATAAAAAAGATACAAATTACTAGTGCCAAAACCCACAAATGTTATGTAAATTTCATATCAAGTCATACACAGTTTGCTTGAGAAGTTATATTTCGTCCTAGTTCACATCAGTTAACGAATTCAAGCGTAGAATTTATATCTGCTCTTGAATTGAGGCCAAAGAGAAGAAAAATATTTACTTCTTTTAAGCAGAGTTTTGAGAATTTTGTATTACATAAAACGTTTAAAAGAAACCAACCTTTCAATTGATATAGTTGTAACATTTAGTGATGTTATAAAATCAGCTAAAAATCCCAGAATTTATTCAGAAAATGGTCACAATCTAATTCTTTGCCAACACCATTATGTATAAACTGCTCTGAAATTATTCTTGTTTTCAAAGATTTCACCCGATTACCCCAGGGCTATCATCTTTCTCAGTACCCATAAACCTTAAGCCATGTGGGCTGCTTGCAAATTTCTCTACATAATATCCTACTTTTAGTATCTGAACACATGCAAACAGTAAAAAATGTGTTTTAAATTATCTATCTCCCTGAATTCCCTTATAATTCTCTCCACATACTGCTGCTTATAAGGACTCTGTATTACATAAATATACATTCTACCATAAGTGCAATGTTTACACAAGAAAGCCTAGAGCCAACCCAGCTCAAACTCCTTATAGCAGAGTTACAAAACATAAAAGTACTGTATCACATCTGAAATTCCCAGGAATCTTGTAGGCATAGCCAATTAGTTTCAAAAAGAGGTCTTTCTATAAACCAGATAGCAACATAGCTCACAGATTATACCCATATATTTATGCTCATTAAAATATCCTAGGATCATGTCAGGGCATTCTAATACATATTAAAAAATATCACACTGATTATTAAACTATTTTTATACAGTAAAGTCAACATGCTACCTTCTGTTTTAGGGTGCTCTTCAATATCTCAAGCTTTGGATACTGAGAAATGTGCCTGTTTCTTGAGCCTTATATACACTGTTGGAACACAGATAAAAACCTTTAACTATTGAACTATCACTGCTTCTCATAATATGTCTTGGGAGCAATTAATTCCTCAAATTATTCCACATGTTCCTAATGAAACCCTAAAGACGCCCCTGTCAACAGCAGAAGTTAGGTGAAGTTGGTGTTTCTGCAGCATTACAAGTTTCTACCATCTCTTCACAATCATAAAATATTATCTCTATATATCGTGTGTCCTACAAGGCCTGAGGAGCACATTTAAATTCCAAGCTGGCTGTTCATTTTGATGGGTATATCATATGTAAAGCAAATAGTGTGTGGCTTTTTAATGTTTGTATTTTTGATATTTATATTTTTAATTGAGGTATGTGATCTGATTGCTGTGTATAAAATAGCTGTGATTATGTGTGACTATTAAAACTTAAGAATGTATTTTAGTCACCAATAGATATGTAACAGTTGTGTGCATTTAAATGAGGAAAAACTATGATAGCAACTAATTACATACAGCTGATATTTCACTACCTTGTTTGCAGATTCCCCTCTCTTTACTGTAAAATGTTTTCTTTTATGCAAATGTTGGACAATTTCCCCTTTCCCTCCATCTAAAAATCCCAAAATATTGGACAATAGAGGAATGTTTTATTATTTACAGTAGCTGACTACCTATTTTCATTTTCTTTGTTTTCTTCTATCCTGGAAGGCTGGTTTTGGCATCAAGACCTCTTCCTATTCTACTTTATTTAACAATCAATAAACACCTGTCAAAGTTTTTCTGCACAAATTTTATTCATCTTAAAAATACAGTAACTCTCAGAGAACCAGAAAATGACAGACAGAAAAGACCTATGAGGTAATTACTACATTTCCAGCAACCAGTCAGTTTTATTTCTTTCAATATATTTACCAGTCCTATTTTAAATGACTGAGGTGAATGAGCTTGCACCAGTTTCTTCAGACTATTTCAAAAGATAAAAGGTCTTATTGTTAAGACATTAATCTTACTCTCTAAGAGAAAATTTCCTTCATTTAAGATAATCTCATTATATCATGTATATGGTGTCTTGGCCACCCTAAATAGTTCCTCTCCAGTCTTAGGTCCTGATCCTACAATCAATTCCAGATTCAAAACAAGCCCATATTTGTCTGACTGTATGATCAGGTCCATACTGTTCACATCCTTCAATTATCTGTAGTTATTGTATCCCTCTTTAGTCATGGATGGCCAAAATATGCCTCATTCTTTCAAATATTTCCTCATAGTTCCCCTACAAAAAAAACCCCACAGCACACCAATGTGTTCCAATGATCCCTCTCTTTTTTGCAATTAACAGACAGACATTGATAATTTGGGTTGGGGTTCGAAATGTGGTTGTTTTCAACCAATCACGGTAATAACAGGTCCATGAAAAACAAAAACAAAAATAAGGGAAAGAGTTCACTATTTGTCAATGGAAAGAGTACACATTTAATATATTATAGGCTGGGTAGCCTATTATTAAAGTTGCCCGATATTTCTCATTTTAACACATTCTTTTCAGTTAGTTATAACTTTTCCAAACTTTAACCATTCAACGTGAAATATTAGATGGTGGGTTTCTTCTTCAGGCAGAATTTTTTCTGGAAAATTTTACCAAAAAGGTTTCAGCCATTTCCAAGACTAAGTTAGAGAAAAATATGTTATTTTTCCCCATGTTCAAAAATATCAACGACGTTTGGAGCAGGGGACTTGAAATCCAAATTTAGAAAAGTTATCTTTGAAAAAAAAGTGCAGTTTTCACATGATCAATGGAGACTTCTTAGCAGCTAAGATCTCAGAAGATTCTGTCCACAGTGGACACGTTCCTGCCTGGGGTGGAGCAGGATGTTCCCTGTAATTGCAGCTCTGGGTTGTCCCAGGCCATGCCATGCTAGGCCAGGCCCATGCCCCTATGCTAAATGCAGGCAGCCTCTCACTCCTGTGCTCTCAACAACACCCCTCCTGGCACTCAGGCAATGACGAAGAGAAAGCTGCCCAGTTTGTATCCAAAAGGGTCCAGAGCCTTCTGGGAGGTGAGCCAGAGTAGATTTAGACAAGGACCTGGAGGGACTGGGGGAAGTCAAGGGGAGGGAGCACTGAGATTGGGAATTGGGACTGGAGGAAGACAGGGACTGGCTGGGCAAGGAGATTAGGAATGGGAGCCAGGGAGGGAAACAGTGGGGGACTGAAATCGGACAAAGAACCAGAGAGAGACTGGGACTAGTAATCAGTGGCGCAAGTGGAAGGAGAGAGAGATATCAATCTAATGAGGAACCAGGATGGAGGGCAAGGAGGAATGGGACTGGTTGGACAAGGAGACTGAGACAAAGCTGGAGTGGCGGGAGACGCTGAGATTGAATTAGGAACAGAGAAATGAAACCAGTAGAGAGAGAACATGGGTGTGGGGTAGAGAAGAGACTTGACAAGGGCTGGGAGGAGGGGAGACTGGCTGGGCAAGGAGTCTGGGAACAAGAAGTGGGGTGGGGGAAGGGGTGGGAATGGGTGGGCAAAGAGACCAGGACTGGGACGGAAAGCCAGAGGACTGGAAATTGGGCTGGGCAGACAAGGAAAATGGGACTGGGGAAGAGAGAGGACTGGGACATGTTGGAGGGGATGGGACAGAAGGGGTCAGAATTTAGGGGAAATAGGCAGAAGAGTCTGTGCTCACTACAGTCCTCCACAGCGTGGAATGGAACCCAAGATTCCTGAATCTTACCGTTCCCCTCCTGTCAGCAAATATCTGTGAAACACACTGGCAAAGTATCTCATGTTCCTCTAGTGCTAGCCCACATGGAGGATGACAACTTACTACAGTAACTCACTTAAAATCGCCCCGGTTAACGTTGTTTTGTTGTTAGGTTGCTAATCAATTAGGGAACATGCTTGTTTAAAGTTGTGCAATGCTCCCTTATAACGGTGTTTGGCAGCCGCCTGCTTTGTCCACTGCTTGCAGGAAGAGCAGGCCATAGCAGCTAGCTGGTGGGGGCTTGGAACCAGGGTGGGCCAGCAGCCCCCCTATCAGCTCCCCGAAGTTCCCTGTGCGGAGGCTGCCCTCTGCCTTGGAGCTGCTCCCTGAGCCTGCTGCTTGCTGTGTGGGAGGACGAGGGGGCTAATGTCAAGGTATTACCCTCCCCCCTGCTCCTGCACCCCGCTTACCCAATCTTCCATAGAGCAGGGGGGACATACCACAAGGCTCAGGATGGAGGGAGCTTCCTGGCAGCAGCTGCGGCCTCAGCTTGCTGATCTACTTAACAAGGCCCTGTACTTAAGATTGGGGTCAGCGTACTTAAAGGGGAAATGCACATCTCTCTCTCTCCTCACACACGTGGTGTGTGTCTCTGTCTGCCATGCTGTCTCCCCTCTCTCCATTCGTGCTGCCTTGTAGAGTGTGAGGCTACATTAATAACAATGAGTTAACCCTTGAGGGCTCATCCAAATGCTAGTTCATCATTTAACAGTAGGGCATTCCCTGGGAAATATCCCACCCTCTGACTTCACCACCTCAACCAAGCTTCACAATCACCATCGCTGTGTACCAGTATTAAATTGTTTGTTTCAAACTTATACTGTGTGTGTGTGTGTGAAGTCGCATTTTTCAGGAACATAACTACAACGTTAAGTAAAAAGTTACTGTACTATCTGTTACTCCATCAGCTCAAGTGGCATAGGTCCGTGTGGCGGAATGACCCATTTGTTTTTTGCCAGTTTCTTTTTATTTAAAAAAAAAAGAATGGCAAAAGAACATTATTCAGGTATTAAAGTTAAGCACTCTAAAGTTAGGAAATGCCAGAATTAAATTTGCCAGTGCAACCTTAATTTGGCATTTCTTAACTACTGAGTGCTGGACTTTGCAACCTTAGCAATGTTCTTTTGACATTCTTTTTTTTTTTTTCCTTTTAAACATAGAATCATAGGACTGGAAGAGACCTTGAGAGGTCATCTAGTCTAGTCCTCTGCACTCATGGCAGGGGGAATAACTAGTATCTAAACCAGGAGTGGGCAAACTACAGCCCGCGGGCCACATCCGGCCCTCTAGCCAGTTTAATCCGGCCCTCGAGCTCCTGCTGGTGAGCGGGGTCTGGGGCTTGCCCTGCTCCCGCGCTCCAGCCGGAGACTGGGGTTGGAGGCCACTCTGTGCGCCCATGCCAAGCTCCCAGAAGCAGCAGCATGTCCCCCCTCCGGCTCCTACGTTTAGGGGCAGCCAGGGGACTCCGTGTGCTGTCCTCGCCCCAAGCGCCACCCCCGCAGCTCCCATTGGCCAGGAACTGCAGCTAATGGGAGCTGCAGGGGCGGTGCCTGTGGATGGTGCAGCACACAGAGCTGCCTGGCCGCACATATGCATAGGAGCTGGAGGAGGGACATGCCACTGCTTCCAGGAGCTGCTTGAGGTAAGAGCTGCCTAGAGCCTGCACCCCTGACCCCCTCCCCCAGCCCAGAGCCCCCTTCTCCCCCGCACCCTGAACTCCTCATTTCTGGCCCCACCCCAGAGTCCGCACCACCAGCCAGAGCCCTCAACCCCCTCCTGCACCCCAGCCCCAATTTCGTGGCCCACCATACAATTTCCATACCCAGATGTGGCCCTCGGGCCAAAAAGTTTGCCCACCCCTGATCTAGACTATTCCTGACAAGTGTTTGTCTAACCTGCTCTTAAAAATCTCCAATGATGGGAGATTCCACAACCTCCCTAGGCAATTTATTCCAGTGCTTAACCACCCTGACAGTTAGGAATTTTTTCCTCATGTCCAACCTAAACCTCCCTTGCTGCAATTTAAACCCATTGCTTCTTGTCCTATCCTCAGAGGTTAAGAAAAACAATTTTTCTCCCTCCTCCTTGTAACAAGCTTTTATGTACTTGAAAACAGAGGAAATTACATTTAAAAAAACAAAAAAAACTGAAAAAATTCTAAAAGGTGGGACAATACTGAACTCCATCACCCATAAAAAAAAAATCTGTATCTCATAGCACTGAATATTTTTCCGCATTTGTTAAATGTCTTATAAAAAGCAAGTTCTACAACACTATATACCACCCCTAAAGACACAAAATAATCTGTTTAACATAAGTCTATTTTCAATAAAAAAGCGAATATATTTTTTAGATTTCAAGTGCTGCAAGTAAACAAACAGTACCTATTAGCTACAGACACTGCATATTCTTATATACAGTACCTGGAATTTGAAGAACTTTCTGAAGTACATCTTCTCTCCTGTCTGTGTAGTATAACTTACTGCACATACTAAGCTGAAAGAGACAGGCATTTTAATAGTTTTGAACAATTTTCAATCTTTTGTTTGTACTTAAGAAGAACCAGAACAATGCATGTCTGCAATGCTTTCATGTAAGCTTTACCATACTTGCTATGATTAAAAATAAAGGCAATTTAGATTTCCGTCAGTGGCATGCTAGTCTTTTGCTATATAAAAAATTTCAGGGATATGTGTAAGAAAATGCATAAGTCAGGAGGAGATATAAAATCTTACATGTGTGTTCCTATTTCCTTTACTTCATGGTGAATAACATCATCAATGCAACAGTCAGATTTAAGTTCTGCCACTGCAGCACTGGAAGCTGAAAGGTTTAATCGCTGAGAACTTGTTTGAAGATCAGCCTTGGAATTGAAAAACAACACAGGTTAGAATGCTTTCAAGTCAGCAGTGTGTCTAAAGAGCAAAGCATTACAAAAAAACCAAAACATACCTTGTGAGGCACTACATTTAATTCAAATAATCTACAGAATACTATGAAAGCCAGATGACCAGAAATGAATTTGCTTTTTAAAGCCTTTTTTAAAAAAATCTGTCTACAGACACAGGCACATACATTTCATGTTGTTTTTTTAATTAATTGGAATGTAAAAGACAACTAATGCAATATTTGCAGCAACATTAATGTATGAGAATAACCTGTGGAGCCTGCAAGCAATGACAATTTTGCCTGAATTAGGACAGCAAGCCCATACTGTATTAAGAGTGACTTATTCAAACCCCAGTGAGTAAATTTTATGTTACATCTGTTCCATACTTGTCTAATAAGTGCAGTATTGAAAAGGGACCCAAAAAAAGGGTGTGGGGGGAGAGAAGAGAAGCACTACATACTAGATCTTAGTTACCATTTCTCTTTATGGCCCAACAGTTTTTGCTTTGCAGCATAATTAGATCCATGGCATGAACAGTGTGTTATAGTACAGGAGGTTTTTTTCCCCTTAAATGCTGATAAATAAAAAGGTTGGGAATGTGTGATTACCAGAACACACATTTTATTTGGTTGTAGATTGACTAAATGCATTTGTATCTGCAATAGAACTAATATTATATTTTTATTTATATATAGATATATATTTTCAAAGCCAAGGATAATATTCAGTACACATACAGAAGGTCTACTTCTGTATGGCCTTGGCTCACAGCACTGCCACTGGCTTCAGAAAAAGAGTTCCACGATTTAGATTTTAGCCCATTTTTGTTCAATATGAGAGCAGTTATTACTTGCTGAGGTTATACTCGTTTGAAGTGGACTTTCCATTTGACATACGCTGTATATATATATATATATTCATAGATTCCAAGGCCAGAAGGGACCATTGTGATCATCTACTCTGACTTCCTGTATAGCACAGGCCACAGAACTTCGCCAAAATAATTCCCAGAGCATGTCTTTTAGAGAAACATCCAATTTTGATTTAAAAATTGCTAGTAATGGAGAATCATTACTAACCTTGCTAAGTGTGTTAAGTATATATTGTTGCCCCTTTTGACCAGAGCAGCTGGCCAAATATTTAGGGTCTAGTGCACCACTTCAGTTAGGAAAAGAAATGGTGACAGTCAGATATTTCTTTAATGAAGTTTTGTTTATGTACAAAGTCTCATGTCTCTGAATGTAGAAGCAATCAAACAGAAGGAAACAGATTCTTTTGCTCACATCACCAAGAGCACTCTTTTCAGCCTACCCTCCTGACCCAAAAACCTCTCCCCAGGTTTCTTCCAGGCTCTGCTTTTGTGCTTTCAGTCGATCCTTCCAGCTTTCTCCCTCTCTGTCTTTTGACTGTTCTGCCTACTCTCCCACTCCTGAAAACAATATTCAGCAAAAGCTCCTTGGTGGAAACACATACTCCTCTTGTCTTTGGTGGGGGCTTATGTTTACAGCTATGTTAACTGAAGGGTGAGTTCACATCTATCAATCTCAATGGAGGTTATAACTCAACCCACAACAAGATTTCATCCAGCTAATTATTGCACACACTAAGATGAAAGAGACAGGCATTTTAATAATTTTGAACCATTTTTGATCTTTCATCTATACTTAAGAAATAGAATAATGCATTTCTGCAATGCTTCTATGAAAGCTTTTCCATACTTGCTATGGTTAAAAATAGAGACAATTTAGATTTCAGTCAGTGGCATACTAGTCTTTGGCTATGTAAATAATTTCAGAGGTATGTATGCTTTAATTGGGACAGTCTTTGAGGACCATTCAGAAGCTAGAGCTAGTGCAGAATACAGTTCCTGCTGGTCTTAGCTGTGAAAATCATGCTACGCTAATACTACAAAGACCTTCTTCCCATTTGCTTCTGGATGCAATCCTAACTTGATTTTGTCCTCTAAAACTCTTTACGATTTCATTCCAGACTACCTGAGGATTTTTTTTTTCCTGTGCTGGGAAACCTTTTAATGGTTATTTCTTAATACCTGCTGTGTATTACGTTAAAAATGCACCAGATACTGTGGATTTGACACATTTTATAAATCCAATAAATAGATATATCTTTTCACATACCTTTACCAATATGTCCTTGACAACTTGATTACTGTCATTATGTACACTAATGTAACTGGAAAAGGTCTCTCCCAGAAATATATTTCTGTTCAAAGAAAATAGTACTTTTTAACAATGTAATTCTCAACAAGTCGACCCACTGAAATCCATTAGAGTCCATCTTTAATTTTTGTAAATATTTTATTTTAAAATTCTACAACGATGTGGTCTATGCTATGACCAGTTCAGTTCCATCAGTGCTAGCAATATCAAGAATCTGATCATAGATGGGCCACTGGCATTTTAAAAACTGTCTCATCTAACCCTGCTCAGAACATGTCTAATTGACACTGTGCTCTAATTACTGACAGCAACCACTCTTTACTCTAGGAATCCCAACGTTGTTGCCATTAACGGAGCTGAACCAGGCGTGGGAATAGTGGGAAATTTTGCAGTGCCTGTTGTAATCAAGTCCAATGGGACTGCACGTATGAATAAAGTTACTCACATAGGTAAGTGTCTGGAAAACCAGGACCTAAAAATACCCTGGCAATTTCCTAGTATACACAATTTTTTAAAGTTTAACTATCAGAAAAAAAAATTAAAAAATGATCAAGTCAGATTCCTACTTAAAAAAATCTCAGTGATAGTTGTTAAACTAAAGTCCCAGTCCTGCAACGAGATATACAGAGGTGGTCCCTTAAAACCTTAAATGTAAGTGCACTACATCAGTTTAAAGTGAGGCTTACACCGGTACAACTTAATATAGTAAACACAGGAGTAAACTGTGTTGGCATAAATCCTGCTTATCATTGGTGCATCATATCTTAGGGATCTGTACATGAATGTAAATTTCTCTAATGCAGACACATTACTAAGGGACTGTCTGCTATAAAGGGTTACATTTCACCTGGAAGTTAAAAATTGCTGCACACACTGCAGGGCACTATGCAGTACCATGCTGTCTATGGTCTCTCCTAGACCCTACTACACACAGAGGCAGGTACGTATTGCAGAGACAGTCACTGAATACATTCAGGCTATGTTGCACCAGTATCAATACTGTGTGTTTATACTCGATAAATAATTTCCTGTTATTAATGAAACAAACAAGTTATCCTTAGTCATCTCCAAAATACTGCAATGTGTATTTGTAAAAAAAGGAAAGGGTGCTAATAAGCACAAATAATCCAAGTTCCAGGATTCATCTAGCAATAATCTTCATACCTTACAGTTGCATATTCAATTCTTACCCAAAGTTCTGAGGCAAAGTCAACATTTCTCCTAGCATTAAAGTTTCTGCTCCTTTTACGGTGGAAGGGTCATCTTTCATGAGTTGATTCAACAGATCTCCTGTAATAATATATAATGGCATAGGTCAAAAACATTTGCATAAACTAGATCCTTGTCTACATACAAATGACATGTTTCCTTTCCATGTATTTGGAAATTGATAATACAGTGCTGCTTTTGAATGTTATTGATATTATGGCTTAGTTTAAATTATTTTTCTTTAGTGACCCCACAATAAAGGGCAGACTGAATAGTTTCATGTTAAACTCTTTATTGCTTCTTGAATTACACTCATGCTAAATTCTAAGCATTAGTAGAGTTTGGTTTAGTTCTTGAATAGGGTGTGCAGATTAGGAACTTTGTGATTTTGTAAAATTAAGTTTTAAATAAAAGGGCACCTGCATACGAGGAAACCTTAAGTACAGCTTTTGCTGTTGCAAAAGCTATCAATCATTATACACTGAACTTAGTACTGCTCACTCTTCCATATTAGGCATAAGCAACAGTTTATCTGCTATATATAATTCAGCAACAAGATAATCTTTCAATCTTACATAAAATACCATGCTTCCTTCAAGAATGAAAAGCAAGCAAAACTGGATTTTGGCTGAATAGCTATTGACAAATTAAAAAAAAAATCTGGGTGACCAAGGCTTTGAGAACTGACTTGTCTATGCCATATTTTCCTTACTGAGGTAATACAAGTTGGGTGGAATTTTCAAAAGCATTCAATGTTGGTCTAACTCTACTCCTCTTAACACAGTGAGAATTTCTGAAAATTCCACCTTTTGTGTTTAATGATTCAGTCAACACAGAAGGGCTCAATCCCAAAGACATATCTCCAGATAAACATTAACCTCAATGGAAATTCTTCCTGCATAAGACCAACTGCACAGCATATCAGAAATAGCTGACCCATTTATCCTTCTTTACTTTACTCTATCTACGTTCTTATACAATTTTCTTTATTTTGCCTTTTTATCCTGATACGTGTTTTTTGAAGCTACATTGCCATTGCACTGGAAGATGGGGAAAGAAGAATGTCAGTTGCTGGGATGGGGAGGGGAAAAATATTTAGGCTGCACAGCACCTCTCTCTCCACCTTGGCTGGCCTCTAGAATATAGTCAGTATCTGGGGAGAACACAGCAATTTCAAGGGGAAACTTGGAATGCTGTGCTAGCACCAACAGACAAGGAAATTCATCAGACAACAAGTCCTGTAAAATCATTGTCAATTACCCATTGAAATAAGGTGCTGGGTAAACTAATGGCTGTAATGAGGGAGTGTCATAAATGTAAGGGGAAGTGTAAACACCTTTAAAATCCCTCCTGGCCAGAGGAAAAACCCTTTCACCTGTAAAGGGTTAAGAAGCTAGGATAACCTCGCTGGCACCTGACCAAAATGACCAATGAGGAGACAAGATACTTTCAAAGCTGGAGGGGGGAGAAACAAAGGCTCTCTCTGTCTGTGTGATACTTTTGCCGGGAACAGAAAAGGAACGGAGTCTTAGAACTTAGCAAGTAATTTAGCTAGATATGTGTTAGATTCTGTTCTGTTTAAATGGCTGATAAAATAAGCTGTGCTGAATGGAATGGATATTCCTGTTTTTCTGTCTTTTTGTAACTTAAGGTTTTGCCTAGAGGGATTCTCTATGTTTTGAATCGGATTACCCTGTAAGGTATTTACCATCCTGATTTTACAGAGGTGATTCTTTTACTTTTTTTCTTCAATTAAAATTCTTCTTTTAAGAACCTGATTGCTTTTTCATTGTTCTTAAGATCCAAGGGTTTGGGTCTGTGTTCACCTATGCAAATTGGTGAGGATTTTTATGAAGCCTTCCCCAGGAAAGGGGGTGTACGGTTTGGGGACGATTTTGGGGGGAAAGGCGTTTCCAAGCGGGCTCTTTCCCTGTTATATATTTGTTAGATGCTTGGTGGTGGCAGCAATAAAGTCCAAGGGCAAAAGGTAAAATAGTTTGTACCTTGGGGAAGTTTTAACCTAAGCTGGTAAAAATAAGCTTAGGGGGTTTTCATGCAGGTCCCCACATCTGTACCCTAGAGTTCAGAGTGGGGAAGGAACCTTGACAGGGAGTAATACAGAATGCCATGTCTCCAGATATGCACGGTAATTCCATGCTTCTATTTTCTCCCCAGTGTGTACTTGATTGTCTGAAACCTTCCCTCCACATACAATCATCTCAAAACAACAAAAACAGCATCCACTGGATGATTTTTCTAATTCCTTAGATTTTGAGGGAACATGTTTACAGGTTGTTCACCAAGCTTCCAAAGCCTTGGGGTGAGAACTGTGGTGGTGATTTGCTATTTTCTATGGCTTTTACAGGGGGAATGTTTACTTCATGTAATACATTATAACCTCTATGACTGCAGAGGTGTGGTGTAGAAGTTTCAGTTGCTCATTTGGGACTGCTTTAATCCTTTTTGCTTTTGTGTGCCATGATGAAACTCCAACTTATGTTGCTTACTAAATTAGTATAAACGTTCTCAGATGTTCTTGCCTTTCTAGTACCATCCACCTTTTTCATCCTTTTTTGTGTTATGTATTCATTAGATTGTAACTCCTCAGGGGATGAATCTGCTTTTCTTTTTAAAAATGTGTTAAGTACAGTACAATGAACACCTCTGGTGATATATAAATAATAATGAATTAATTATCAAGAGATCATCATATACCTGGCAAGTCTCTCTCTTCACAGGTCACTGGAATATTGGTGAATAATGTAGGCTTGGTTAACCTCATCACTGTGAATTCAGAAAGGAAAGGAAAAGTTAGTAAGCAAACAGTATTTAAAAGATCCAAAAATATTTCGTAGTTTTAGTAAAAAAAACCCCACCACCATATTTTTAATTTTCTTGTTTTGAAGTCAGTTTGAAAGGGGGTGATACAACCAATCACATTACCTGCACTTCCTAGTGAATATTTTTGGTCAGTATGGAGTTAAAGTTTAATAGGGATCTAGGTCATTGCATACAATTGATTTCTTGCCGTCACAAACTTTAAATGAGCCTTGCAAAACTATCATGAAAATGTAATGGCCTAGGCACAAACTCTACACTACAATAATGAAAAAACAAAATGAATGAGATTTTACTCACCTGTCAAACAAACCAAACAATCTTGCCCTAGGAAAGGGGACAAGTAGAATTTTGCAAGGCTGATCTAAACCATCTTACTCAAATTATGTAGCCTCATCTATATCATGGTGTCTGGGATTTATCCTCAAGAGAGATTATTTTCCAGATGGAGAATAGGAAAAAAAACAAAAACAACCCCACCCCACCCCCCAAAACAACAACAACAAACACACACAGGTCCTGATTCTGCAAACATTTGCACATGACAGTAATCCCATTAAGTTCTATTGCATACATGTTTGCAAGATCAGGACCATTTTCTGCAAACTGCTTTGAAGATGTAAAATTCTAGACAAAGGCTCAGTATTTTTTTTAAATGCATATGAATAAAATTATTTGCTGGGACCAACATTTGCAGTTCGTCTGTGCAAACCAGTGTTCCCCACATTTACAATATTTTTGGTTAAGCTTTACCTCTAATACTAAGTGTAACAAGACTCACAAGATTAAACAAATACAATCTAATATTCAACAGCGCAATTATCAGTAAGTCATAGCTTCTCGGCAAAGTAATTTAAGAATCTGGGAGTTCCAAAATATAAATAATATTCCTTCATTTTTTCATATAGAATGTATTGTTTACAATTTAAAAATAGGAAATAAATTATATGTAGCAGATCAAGGCAACCTTCAGCTCAGTATCTCTTCAGGCTATAGAAAAATAAACTGGACAAGCTTGCATTGAAAGTTGCTATTTGAACGACTGATGAATTTTCATTTCTACTATACTTTTGTGCCATTTCACATTCATTAGTCTACTCAGCATTCATTGATGCCAGCTTGGTAAAATCATTGATTGTTTCGGGTATGCATTTGGGCATGGTGCAATGGTTCATGTGATAATTTATGCTACAATATGAGACACCTACATGAGATGGTTAATTGAGGCACAGTCAGTTGTTTTAGGGAATGGATATATTACAAAAGTGAACCATAAGCAAAGCTCTTTTTAATGGGAAGGTGTAAATTGGAGATTTTAGCTGAAGAAGGCATAATGTACTCCTGGAGGGATTCTGCACTAAAAAATTCACAATTTGGCAAAATTCTGCATTTTTTATTTGTCAAAATAATGCAATATAATCACACCAGTTTCAATTGTTTTGGTAATTTATTTAAACTACAATACAGAAAAAAGTCACAATGACTATTCAGCATTTCCTAAACACATAGAAGTGAAGTTACAAACACTTGGTAACTAATACCCTGCATTCCAGTTATAATCCTGGATTTTCATTTGAATTACATTACAGAACACCAAACAGCAAAAATAAATAAAATAAATAAATTAAAGAAGTCATTTTAAATTGCTCAAACTTTCATACAGTTTTGCTAATCATCATCTTGACCTGGCTGGGTAATTTGGGAAGAGCTTGTTTCTGAGTGTCCTGACATTTTATTGACTGCTTGGTAAATGTTTTATTTGCCCTCAAAGTCTTTTTTTTTTTAAATGGGTAAGTAAAATAAATCCTGAGCTATAATCTAAACTCCACTTTGGCACAGGAAAAACAGTGAGAAAGCACGTAGATCTTCCCAGCTGATTCTCTTACTGTCATCTATAAGGCTGCACATCACTCTGGCAATGAAGAGGCCTTAAAACTTTTCAAGGTTTTATGCTCCTGGAGGAATTGACTGAGGATGGGAACAGTTAACTAACAATAGGAACATTAACAATGTTACTATACAGGTAGCTTGCTACATTTCTGCCTCAAAAAACGAGATCAATTAACTAGCAGACAGGCTGCTATATTTCTGCCTCAAGGAAAGGCAGAATAAATTCTCCTGCATAATAAAAACATGTATCCTTCCATGCCCCTGGTGAGTCAGAGTAGCAAGGGACAGAGTCTCTCTCACTTGTTGGCAGGTACCCATACCCAGCCCCACCCTCTGACAGTGATCGACGTCTCCCCCGCAGGCACATACGCACACCCAGCCTCTCTCCCCCTGCAGTGATTTGCATCTCTGAGGCTGCTCCAGACGTGCTGGAACAGACACACTGCCTGGTTTGCCATGGAAGAGGTCCCCCCGCAGATTTCTTTTGCATTTTTCTGTGTGGGGAGCACAGAAATATGCAGGCCATATGAATTCTGCACCCCTGTCAGTGGTAATAATGGCATAAAATGAAGAAGAGTGTGAAAACATCTTATTTCATTCAGCCTGATTTGTTGTCTTGAGTAAATATAAGCAATAAATGAGAATTTAAGGTATATTCCATAAGGTCTGCATCAAGAGGGACTAGATGCCTCCTTACCCAAGTGCAGAAACAACAACAAATATTACACCCTTCATTTTCCTTATTGCTCTGCTGACAACTGTCAACATTCCACTGAAATCAGCACAATATTAGGCAAACAGCAGCATAGTAAGTGTAACAGGTGGAACATTTAGTAGCTGGCAAACAGTTACTGTAACCTATGTAAAAACGTTGGTGGGACACTGGAGCACTGCACTGAACAACATGCCCTTTCACACCTTAAGACAAATACAGGATTCAAATGAAGGTAAATTCATCTGGGAAGAGGAGCAACTGGATTAGTAATCGCTCCTTCCACAACCACTGCAGCAGTTCCATTAGCTTTCATTTTGTTTAGAAAACCGTTAAACCTCCTATGGAAGTGCAATGACTCTGTAGTGATGCCTGCATTTTTTCATTGCGCTCAGCTGAGTAATTTGTTCATGCCATAAAGCTGAAAAGAATATCACCAAGTGAAATCCCAGACTCTTTCCTGCAATATTCATATTAAAAGTAATATGATTAACCAGCCCACCAAACTTAACTTTTCCATCAAGCTTCTAAAAACTTTCAGCACTTAGGGCTTGTCCACACACCCAAGTTTTGTTGATAAAACTTATGTCGACACCCAAAAGTCGACAAAACAAAAATTGCCAAAGGGTGTTCACACTTGCTCCCTTTGTCAACAGATCATGTCCACGTTGGGGACACCATCATCGACAGGGCGAGCAATGCACCATGGATATGTATCCCACAGTGCAGTGTTGTGGGAAGGAAGAGTTCATCGCTGCACATCTTGGTATTCTCTCCAATTTCTCCCACAGCCCCCTCAGCTGCCGAGAGCAGCACCATGAGCAGCTCTGCCATTCCTCAGCACAGAGAGCTCACAAAGCAGCACAGCAGTCTGTCCCCTGCCCCGTGAAGCAGCAGTCTGCCTGCTGCTGTGTTCCTAGTGCAGGGCAAAACAGGAGTATTCCAATGATTTGCTCTTTGTTTGTTCCCCAAAGGGAGCAGCACACAGATACTTCCCGGAGCTTTGAAAGGAGAGGGGCACATGCCTGCAGGGCAGCAGAGATCAAAACACTGAGCAGAGCAATCAGGGCAGGCATTGTGGGATACTGGCAGAAGCCAGTTCTGTCCACAAAACATTCAGCAGTGTCTATACTGGCTCTTTGTCAACAATAAAGGGAGGGGAAAAGACAAAAGTCTCTCATAGGGGTGGAAGTTTTTGTCACCAAAACTGGGTGTTTTTCACAACAAAAGTCCCATTGTAGTGTGTACACTCTTGCTGTTTTGTCGCCAAAAGGCAGTTTTTGGCAACAAAACTTGCCAGTGTAGACAAGCCCTTAGAAGACTAGATATAGGTCTGTTTGTGATTTTGAAAAAGTAACATGGGGCATCATGTCATTCTTGCTGCACAGGCTATGTGTGGATTGCTTTAATGTTTCTTCCAAATATTATATGGGGACTTTTACTGCACCCATTGAAGACAATGGATTGTTGTCTTTGAAGTGAATTGGACAGTATCCCTCCATTGTAAACACTGGTGAGAACCCCCTCCCACCCTGGCCTCTTTATGCCACTCTAACATAAAGGGGTGATAAATTGCCCCTGGAAAATATCCCGAGAGCAGGGGACCTGCAACAGCACTTTCAGCCTGTAATATAGAACTACTGCAACAGGTCTATGCTTGTCTCCCACACCACATACCCAGAACATATCATGGGAAAGATGGGATGAATCTGGACTGCTGGTGAACTCTGGCTATTCTCTGCTTCCCACTGAAGGCCACAGGACACAAAGTAAGTCAAATTAGTTCTAAGTCTTAGGACTACTCTAATTTCACCGTTGCCCCTAATTCTTGTGATTTTATCACAAGTCTCACAATATGTGGCATTTTCCTTAAAACTGCAGTTCTTAAGTCATGCAACTATATGAAATTCTCAGCTTTCATTTAAAAAAAGTCTGCCACAATGATGAGACATAGAAAAAGATGAAGAACATGAATTCTAAAAGCTCAAAAACAAAAAGGCAAATAAAAAGACCCAAAATGTATTATTTAAAAGAATTGCATGAATTTTAATATAATCTTACGACTTTTGGGGGGCCTGATTTATGATTCCTGAATGCTTGAGGTTGGGAATACAATAATTCACACCAACGGCCAGGCCCACAGTGTAGGGTAAGACACAAGTGGCTTAAAGTCATCTTTCCCCTCCCAATCCCATTTCCTGTAAAGAGTGCATCTGTCATAAATATAAAGGGAAGGGTAAACACCTTTAAAATCCCTCCTGGCCAGAGAAAAAACCCTTTCACCTGTAAAGGGTTAAGAAGCTAGGATAACCTCGCTGGCACCTGACCAAAATGACCAATGAGGAGACAAGATACTTTCAAAGCTGGAGGGGGGGAGAAACAAAGGCTCTCTCTGTCTGTGTGATGCTTTTGCCGGGAACAGAAAGGAATGGAGTCTTAGAACTTAGTAAGTAATCTAGCTAGATATGCGTTAGATTCTGTTTTTTTAAATGGCTGATAAAATAAGCTGTGCTGAATGGAATGGATGTTCCTGTTTTTCTGTCTTTTTGTAACTTAAGGTTTTGCCTAGAGGGATTCTCTATGTTTTGAATCGGATTACCCTGTAAGGTATTTACCATCCTGATTTTACAGAGGTGATTCTTTTACTTTTTTTCTTCAATTAAAACTCATCTTTTAAGAACCTGATTGTTTTTTCATTGTTCTTAAGATCCAAGGGTTTGGGTCTGTGTTCACCTATGCAAATTGGTGACGATTTTTATGAAGCCTTCCCCAGGAAAGGGGGTGTACGGTTTGGGGACGATTTTGGGGGGAAAGGCGTTTCCAAGCGGGCTCTTTCCCGGTTATATATCTGTTAGACGATTGGTGGTGGAAGCAATAAAGTCCAAGGGCAAAAGGAAAATAGTTTGTACCTTGGGGAAGTTTTAACCTAAGCTGGTAAAAATAAGCTTAGGAGGTTTTCATGCAGGTCCTCACATCTGTACCCTAGAGTTCAGAGTGGGGAAGGAACCTTGACAGCATCTAACACAGTAATGGAGAAACGGGCCAGAATGAAGGCAAGCAAAATACTAAGGAGATTTAAATACATATGCATTTCAGCTAAGCATTTCTATAACAAATTAAAATAAAGTTCCCGGTTTAAGACTGTAAATCAGGACTAACTGAAATAATCCTATTAATAGACAGTATTGGGTGTTCACAACCCATCGGCAGTTATCCAGAAAACTATAAGCCCTGAAGAAAGTGGACATATACTAAAAGTCCTAAAATTATTTGAGTCTCACAGTAAATTCTTATCAAGAATTTTAAGTCAGAAAATGGATACCAATCACGTATAGCTAGATAAAATTAGTTCAATTTTAATTATATGTATAAAACAGACCCAGATTACAGTGATATAACCTGTCACACTGTGAAGTCATAAACCAAACACAAATTAAGGTCCTGATCCTGAAAAAATTTATGTATGTGTGTAACTTTACTTAGTGGGGACTCCTTATGTGAGTGAAGTTACATGCATAAATCTTTGCAGGGTCAGAACCTGACTTCAGTGGGACTACTCACTTAAATAAAGCTACTGCCTATGTAAAGTCTTTGTAGGATCAGGGCCCAAAATTGGATTTTCTTGTTATCGCCCAAGATAAAAGAAGTGTGGTAGTCTGAGGTACTTAAGCTTATTCTACACTGCTCTCTACCACAAAGTTTCTTTTCTATATAGTATATTAAAAGGAAGAAAATTCTGACTAGACAAGGGCTATTTGTCTCTCTATTACTAATTTTGCTGATATCAGGAACAGTAAATTAAACTATGCAATTTAGCTATGCAAGCTTTTAAATTAATACAGGCCCCGGGTTATCCTATGAAACTCTCAATGCAGTCGTATTGAACAGAAATATTAAAAGATTTAAAAAACCCCTCCATATCTCAATAGAAAAGACTGAGCATTCAGGCAAGAGCAAGAGGTACATGTAGAGAGTCAGAAGGAAGAAATTATACTGCTGGGTCAGACATCTGTCCTACCAGTGTCATGGCAAATGGTTATGCCTAGTGATTAATTGATTTGTTATAGAGGTAAGAGATTCCAAAAGAACTGCAATGAGATTAAATCAATAGTACTCACAATGAACATTAAAGTGGAGGAGGCAGGATGGAAGCATTAGGCCAAATATAGACACTTCTCATCTAAACTGTTAATTTACCAATTAAATCAAAATCACATTCATTTTCAGATTTTTGCTTTGGATAGCAACTGGTGTGTATTTATTGAAAACAAACAAGGTTAGAAACAGAGTTGTCGAACTATGTTTCCCAATGGGTTTTGCAATGTAAAATTACTACTTACACCTCTAAAGTGGGAAACAACATTTGCCAATAGTTAAAAATGATTAAGTTTTAGAACAGTTGGGTCTTCCAAGAAATAAATGGGGATTCTCTTTCTCTGTACTCCAATCCAACACAATGGCCTTCAGGACATTGTCCAACATCCTGGGATCCCCATTCACTAACTATTTTTCCTTCCTTCCCTCATAGCTACCGCCTACTGTAAAAATTTACATCTAGCTAGGATACAGATTCTTCCAAGACAGCTAGCGTAACCGTAAACTTCCTAGCAGAGGTCTCCAAGAGAAATATGTGCCCATACACTCCTACAGGGTCCCAAGGTACCTGTTCTACAGTTTATAACAGACCCTCTGAAGAGGACAGGAGCATATTCAACATTCATACTGAAGATGGGTCTCTTCTCTCATGTCACTGCAAGCCATGCTGCATTCAAACATCTTAACCTACCAATGCATCCAGTAGGACCAGTATATTATCAATATGTACAATTTCACAAGCTAGTCAGACTAATTTTCCAAGATGCAGATGGTTTAATAATCATTAACCTAGCACTTTCTTTTTGTTCACCACTATAATTATAAGCTACTGATGCTCAAATGTAGGAGGAATGAGATCGAAAAGCAGGGACACCAAAAAAATATCCGTACAAAAGGCATAAAATAATGGAGGTGAAAGAATTTATTACTACAATATAAACTTTTTCTCTAATCTTTACCTTTATTATTTATTATTATTATTATCAGAGCAAATAATTCATAATAAGCATGAGGTGGCAAGATTTGTGTGGAATGGAAGTCAGTTTACATTTTAAATGTAAACTATTCATCCTAATGAGAGTTTTTCCTGGAGACAATCAGCTTCTTGCTAGGACAAAAGCAAAATCCATCATGGTGACAATGATGATTCACTTAAAAAAATACATTGTACTTTTTCTCTCCTCCTAATTTCAACTCAGTCAGTACAGGAAGGAAGTCCTCTACCTGACAGAAGTATAGATTTCATTTTCCTAAAACAGCTCATCTGCAAGAGTCACTGGACAGTGGACTCTGATTCTATGCATGGAGGGGGGAAAAAACCACAAAGGCTATTCTAATGTTCATAATAACTACAAAATACACGGATATAATTTTGTTTGACCATGAATTATATGTAAACAAACAATTTAATCAAACTAATAAAAATGAGGAGGCCGGTGGCATCTGAAGAAGTGGGTTTTTTAAACACGAAAGCTTATGCCCAAATAAATCTGTTAGTCTTTAAGGTGCCACCGGGCTCCTCGTTATTTTTGTGGATACATACTAACATGGCTACCCTGCTGATAATCAAACTAACGTTAATATAGTTTTCTGATATTGAATTCATCAGTTGTTTTCAAGTCCTTCTGCATATATTGCATATTTGCAATCTATTTTTAAAAAAAACCCTAATATTCCAGACAGTAATATTACTATTTCCTTTGGTTTTAAAATTACAAACTAAATATAATTCCGTATTTATGTACAAGCAAGTTCATTCTCCCAGTAAGATTTAATCTTTCTCTAAGAAGATTGCCAACATATTCACTGTATAATATGTCACAGAAAACCCATATCTGGTCCACACATCTCTGGATTGTAGCATTGCAAGACGGCAATTCATTGTGTTTGATCATTGTGTTCAGTTTAATCCAAATGTCCTCTAGAGTTTGATTATTACAAATAGATTGTTCAATTGTCCACTTTGCTCTATAAAATGCATGTAGCTTCAGTCTTTCTAAATTACTCTGCAGTTCTCTAGATAAAGGAAGAATTTTTTCTTTAAGTTTAGGACTAGGGACAGAGATACTCCAAGACCTTCTCAATTTTGGTTTTTCATTTGCTGGTTGTACTTCCAGATTGCTTGAATGAATTTGTGCGTGCACTGTTTGTGTCTGGATTAAACTTTGACCAGTTTTCAAATTAGACTGAAACTCCAGAAGGTCTACTGTGCAGTCATAATATTGCCCAATAAGAGGTTCTGAAGCGGCAACAAGTTGTTTCACTTCTTCTGCTTTCTCACCAGAAATAATAGGTGGTTGTCTTTTCGGCTTGAGGGGAAGTTTGTGTGAATCATTTGGAAACCAGGGAACAAATCTTGGTAGTTGCCGAATAGGAAACTCCTTCAGTGTTTCTTCCACAAGTTTCTGCAATTTTGTGAGGTCATTCTGAAATGGTCGATAGTGCAAAACTATTTCCATGCTGGTACTGTAGGAATCCAGTTATTCTTAATAAAAGAAACAGTCTCTTGATTAGGATCCTCAACTCTAAAGCGTAATACATCTTATTTACAAAAATCTTTTCTTGCATGTGATGCACAGATCAGAAGAAAACAGGACCTAAAGCAGAAGTATTGTAAAGAATAAGATATCACCATATTAAGCCATATATTGCTAGAATATTTTGCAGTAAAACAAAATGCTGTAAAGATAAACTAGCAATATTTATATTTATGTATCAGAATGCTTTATACTTTACCACAGTGATTACTTACTGGTATTTAATCATTGCTAGTGTTTTAAAACACCAGATAAGTAGATTTTAAACTTTAAACAAAAAACATACATAAAACTTATATGATCTGCTCTTCATGGAAAAACCTATGCTATTCCCCCCAAACAGTATTCTCCTCCGTCACCCACCCATTTCTGTGGTCATATGAAATTGATGTGAAGACATTTTGCCCAGTTAAGCATGCCTCAATGGAACCCTCAGATTGTATGCCACTGTATTTACCCACAAATTACCATGCATCTATGGCACTATGTTCCTAACATGCATACCTAATGCTATCCACTAAAAGCACCAGGATTTCATTTAAAACATGAACAGTCATATGATAAAGTTACCACCAGCTTGACGTTAAAACCTATTATATCCTCTCAAATTATCAGTCCGGAAAAAAAAGAGGGGAGATGGGGGGCAAACAGAACAAAGAAAATACTAATTTTAAATACAAATCTGAAACAATATCTTCCTTCTACTCCCATGAAGGAAACTGAATAATATACTGCAGATTATAATTACTGATGATGAAAAAAATACTCCCTGAAATAGGACTAACAGTTACACATAATTTAAAGTAGAAGATTAGCCAAGAAGCTGTTCTGAACTCCAAGTATGCCAGACAATATATAATAAAGATTTTCTTATTTCAATTCCATAGCATGACTATATATCAACCAGTCTTAGCTCCAAACTTCAGAGCTATACATCAGTCATGCTATTATATGAAAACTTTAAATAGGATACTCCCTCATTTCCAAAATTCAACATTTCTCTCTCTCTCTCAGATGAAGGTTAAATTGCCTGTTAGATAATGGGCACAAACAGCATTACCAATTATGGAATAAATTCATAGCATCCTTTACTCTCTAATTTCTTCCAAATTTTCAATAATCTGTGTGTGTTCTAACAGATACCAACAATAGAGAGTAATACTACAAACACTAGACTCGGATCATTTAGCTACTGCATTGCAATGACTGAATTCTAGGAGTTGAAAGGGACACACGTTTATGACAGGTTTGTTTTGAGTTCTCTCTAAATTCCTTTTTTCCTTCTAATTGCAAAGTCTATGGCATTAATGCTACACTGACTTCTCTGCAGGCCCAGGGATCTACTTATACCTCTTATCAGTCCCCTATCTCCCAAACAAGGGTGTATTAAGAAAAGATTTTGCTTTGAATCAGTTGTTACAACAGCAGAACTAGGAAAGGAGTACTTGTGGCACCTTAGAGACTAACCAATTTATTTGAGCATAAGCTTTCGTGAGCTACAGCTCACTTCATCGGATGCATCTGATGCATGCATCCGATGAAGTGAGCTGTAGCTCACGAAAGCTTATGCTCAAATAAATTGGTTAGTCTCTAAGGTGCCACAAGTACTCCTTTTCTTTTTGCGAATACAGACTAACACGGCTGTTACTCTGAAACAGCAGAACTGTTGATTTTTTTTTATTATGGAAAAGCAGCTTGATTTTGTCATTTGAAACCTCAATAACTGCTTTAGACAGCAATAAACTAACACCATTAAAACCAATATACTGTCTTCAGGAGTGTTTTAAAAGTGAGCGTATTAACATGAGGTAGATTCAACTAAGGCCATGTCTTCACTACCACTTATGTCACTCAGGAGTGTGAAACAAGTTTCGCCGGCATAAGTGGTAGTGTGCACAATGCTAGGTCGGCAGAAGAGCTTCTCCCACTTACATAGCTACACAAGTGATCTTACAGCAGTGCGGCTGCATCGGTATAGCTGTGCCGCTGTAAGATCGCTAGTATAGACATGGCCTAAAACCCCAATTCTGCAATCACTTATGCAGATGTATAACTTATGTACCTGAGTAGCCCCATTGAGTTCAACTGATTACAGGATTGTGGACTTCATCTTAAATTGTTCATTATTGCTACTTAATATGAACACAAAAGCACAATGGTAGATAAACAATACCAGAAGCAATATCATTTTTACTGACCGAGAAAAAGGAAAAGCAGATAAAGATTATTTAGTGCACAGTTTTTCCACCACCTGTTTCTTCCAATCTGGTGTTTCTTCCAATCTGTTTGGTCAAGACTGTAAATACCTGAGCCTCCAATTAATAAAACATTCTGTACTTGTATACTTTTTCATTCAAAGAGCTCACAGTACTTACTCCTGAGGGAATCCTTCACTAGAAAATTAAAAATTCTGCAAGCGCGTACACACACACACAGAGCTCTGGATGCACAGGGAGTCATTGGGGAGTTCTGGGTGCTGGAGGAGTGGGGCTTGGTGGGGTGAAGGTCCAGGTGCAGCGGGGGGCTTGTTGGGGTGGTCCAGGTGCAGTGGGATGGAGCTAATTGGGGTGGGGGTTAAGAAGCTTCATGGAGGGTCTGGACTACACCGGGGTTGGGTGGATAGAGGCACAGCTCCCCATACAGTGACCCCTCCCTCTGCGGCTGAGGAGCAATGGGGCTAGGAGGTGTAGAGCTTCTTGTAGCTGGGGGAGGCTGCTGGGGGTGGGTCTGACCCAGCCCCGGTCGCTCCTTGAGGGAGAAGAGGAAGTCCTGTTCTCCCTCAGCCCCAGCCCAGACGGAACTCTCCGACGGCTGGTCTACGCACCCGGTAGTGCCAGAACAGTTTTTATAGTGGGGATGCTGAAAGCGGAAACCATGTATTTGGGTTGTTATTACTACTTCAAGCCACGGGGTGCACTAGCACCCTCCGCACTGCTAGTTCCAGCACCTGTGGACACATCCATGCTGCTGGTGAGGGGCATGTGACCACTCCTGCAGCTTCCCAGTCAGAAAGTCATTTTTCTGCAGGGAAGCAAAGAAATCTGCAGGGGACATGAATTCTGCACCCATGCAGTGGCGCAGAATTCCCCCAGGAGTATACAGTACTATATAAAGATAGGTGGTTATCTAGATAAATCTCATATGATGCCTGTATTTTCATACAACTTTGTATCAGATCCTTATATAGAAAACTTTGTATTGAGCCTTGGTATAATGTTAAAAAATTTCTTTTTGCTAGAAGTAGAATAAGATCTCCCCCCTGCTTTTAATCAATTGCCCTGTTGAATGAAGGAGGTGTGAATGAGTGAGGCATGGAAGGCAAGCACCTCCAGACACCTGCAACAATTGGAGAGAGGATGGAAGCCAGACCCAAGAACAATAAAACTTCTCAAGTGGGCTCACTAAAGAAGAGCAGACATATTGAGGGCCTTGGGGGTTAGAGGCAAGCACCTTCTTTTGAAAACACCCTCTTTGAACAGCATTGAGACAACACCCAGAAGGAAGCAGCACAAAGGACCAAGGGACACAGACACAGATTTTGTATCTGGCATAGATTTGCATGAGAGGGAAGCTGCTATAAATGTGAGGTGTCTTGCAGAGGACCCCGGGTCTTGTCTTGTCAACATGGGAGTATCCAACCGGCTGGGCAGAAGCCTAGTTCCACCCCTCCCCCATCTAACTCACCTGGCCAGTGAAGTTAAGGGGAGCAACTAGTTGGTAACAACAAGACGGAGTGTGCTTGTATGTGAGAGTGTAATATATATCATATGATACAGTGTTGATTGATACATGTATTACCAATATATGTGGCACTTTTGCCTTATTCCCCCTGTAAAGATCCTGTGCAGTACTTTAAGTACAACAGTTATTCCTATTTTACAGCTGAAGGGAGTGAAGCTGAGAAGGATAAGGGACTTACAGAGAGATTCTTTAACAATGCCATGAACAGAACCCACGTCCCCTGATTACATGCTCAGTGGTTTGAGCATTGGCCTGCTAAACCTAGGGTTGTGAGTTCAATCCTTGAGGGGGCCATTTAGGGATCTGGGGCAAAAATTGGGGATTGGTCCTGCTTTGAGCAGGGGGTTGGACTAGATGACCTCCTGAGGTCCCTTCCAACCCTGATATTATATGACATTATATATATGACATAGTGCCAACGTCTAGCACAAGCGTTGCCCATATCCCATTGAAAAAGGGACCAGTGAACCACTTCCTCCCACATTTGCTACCGCACGATAATATTTCTGTGACAACTACAGCAACTGCTTCTGTATACAGGCAACATCAGGACAATATTTATGTATTTTATCTTTCATACACTAAGTGCTTCATTCTTCCTTGAAAAGCGCTAATCTCACCAGCCTGCTCGTCATCCCACTCGGTGTAGGGAACCGCAGCTCTACCTGAGCAGCCCAGCCACTGCCAGGGCTAACGGGCGGGCGGGCGCTGGCGGGGCGAGGCAGAGGCCTATCTTCTGGGCTCGTCATGCCCAACTCCCGGAACCTAACAGGGCACCCTCACTCCTGACCGACGCCGGCCCACCCCGCACTGGGCCCGGCCTGCTTCCGCGCTCCACCCAGTAGCCCACACTCCCTCCCGTACAGACCCGCCGGGGCCTCCGCCTTGGTTCCTCCCCCTCCTGCGGCGGAGAGACCCGGCCTGAGGCCACCCAGGGCCGAGCCGCATCTCCCGGCACAGCCTTGGAGCGGGCAACGAGGGCAGGGGCCACCCCGCGCCCCCGGCTGGCGAGAGAGGCTGAGGCCCAGGCAGGAGGAGGGGCGGTGAGCTCCCGTCTCGGTACCTTTCAGGGCCAGCAGATGCTCCTGCTTCGGCTGATTCACATCCATTGCCTCGGCCTCCCCGCTCTGGGCCTTCGCCGCCTACGGGATTCACCTAGGCCAAGATTCTGCTGATGGCGAAAGAAACAACGATAGAGGTCTGCACACGGCCTGAGCCAAGCTGACCGCGGTCCAGAGAACCGGGAGGTGCGTTTCCCGGCATGCAACGTGCCAGTTGGAACGGAGCAGGACCCGGAAGAAACTACAGGCCCCAGCATGCACTGCTCCCCTTGATCCCAGCTGCTCACAGACGATCTGGACGAAGAGGGACCCGGGCGGGTGGGGTTGTCTTCTGGGGACCTGGACTAATCGCGTTGCATGCTGGGATTTGAAGTCTTCCTGGAGGTGACTGAGATGAAGTTAGAGCATTACATGGTGGAACCTGTAGTTTTCGCGAGCCTCTGAGCGACAATGTGACCCATTGTATGATGGGAATTGTAGTCTTCATGCGTCCCTTAGGTGTCACTGTGGGCTGTGCGAGGAGACGCATGCGCAGTAGTGATCACGGCGGCCGCCAGGGATGAACCCGTTAAGATTATTTTTCATTCCTGCGTGGACGCTTCGTGTGGTGACATCACAGCGCAAGGCCGGTAGTGTCAGCGCGTGGCCCGCTCCTCTCTCCCTGCTGGCTCATTGGCTTGTTGGTGCGTCGGTGGCTCGTTCCTCCTCCCTTTTCCAAGATGGCGGCCATGGGTGTAAACAAGGCTGGCCCCGGAGCGGGGCTCGATGCCGGTCCCCGGCACAGCGGCAGGCGGGGGCCGGCTGGGGCTGCTGTGAAGGTGAGAGGAACGGCACCCGTCCGCCCAAGTGCCCGCTTGGTTCACACAACAGCTCCTGCCAAAGGGTGGCGACGCTGCTTCGGCTAAGGGGTTTCTCCCGATGGCATAAAACAGACCCTGTGCAGCAGCAGCCGCTTACCCTGGCTTCGGGGTGGCCACCGGTGGGGACATGGAGAAGCCCGCACGAGTGCAGAGGGATGATTTGCTGTGTTGGGCGGCCCTGGGTCCTGTGAGCTGGTGCGAGGGTAGGGGGCAGGCTGTCGAGAGGCGAGTGGGTTCCCAGAATGGGGTGGGGTGTCAGGCCAGTGGCTGGACCTGTGAGTAGGGCCCTACCAAATTCACAGTCCATTTTAAAAAAAAATTGAATTTCTTAGTTTCAGATATTTAAATCTTAAATTTAGCCATGTTGTAACCATGGGAGTCCTGACCCAAAAAGAGGGTGGTGGGGCAAGGTTATTGTAGGAGGGTCACGGTATTGCCACCCTTACTTCTGCACTGCCTTCAGATTTGGGTGGCCAAAGAGTGGCAGCTGCTGGCCAAGAACCTAGCTCTGAAAACAGTGTTGATGCCAGCAGGAGTGGAGAAGTAAAGGTGTCAATACCATACCATGTCACCCTTCTGCATTGCTGCTGGCGGCAGTGCTGTCTTCTGGGCTAGGTGCCTAACCAGCAGCCGCCACTTTCTGACTGCCCAGCTCTACAGGTGACGCAGAAGTAAGAGTGGCAGTACTGTGACCCCCCTACAATAGCCAGATTTAATGGGGGAGACCAGATTTCACAGTCAATGATGTGTTTTTCATGGCTGTGAATTTGGTAGGGCCCTATCTACGAGGTAGGGAGGTCCTGGGGTGCACTGAATCAGCTGGGCCATGGAGTGGCTCCCAATCAAGAGCCCTAGGTCAGACAAGCAGTTGGCCAGGGCCAGCCTTCGGTTCCTTTTACTTGGGGCTCGCAGTAAGTGGGTTCACACTGTGATGGACAGTGCTCATGCTTCAGTTCATTTGCAGAGAGAAAGGGCTGTACAAAAGAAAATCATGACTGGAATCCACAAAGGAAGAACTATCTAATGGGACAATTGCTGGGGTTAATTGGTTTCAGAGTGCAGCTGCATGGTAGATTTCTTTATACAAGAGCTACCACTGTAACATGGGCCACTTAACTCTTGATGTGTGATTGCTTCTGATCTGTTCAAAATGATCTCTTGATTTATAGGTTCTTGAGTGTGGAGTCTGTGAAGATGTATTTTCTTTGCAAGGTGATAAAGTTCCCAGGCTGCTTTTGTGTGGTCATACCGTCTGCCATGACTGTCTTACTCGGCTTCCTCTCCATGGTAGAGCAGTTCGCTGTCCTTTTGATAGACAAGTTACTGAACTAGGTAAGGATGAAAATTATGTGTGTGTGTGTCTTTAATTAGATTAGTGTAATTTAAGAATGACAAGAACATGACTACTAACTTACCAGAGACTTTCATTTCTGTTTGTAGGCTGGTGAGACATGTGTCTCAAGAAGGATAAGGTAGTGTTTTTACAAATTTTGTGGGAGAGGGAGTTTATTCTATACGTAAGGAATGATAGGAGAGAGAGACTAATGGGTGGCAAAACATTGATGGAGTAAAGGGAGTGGAAGATGATATAATAAGGTAATAGTTCTGAGACCTTGTCTTTACTCAGAAAAGTGTTTCTACCCTGTGTTAGGTTGGCTCCCCGCTCCATACTTTTAACTGGACCTGTTAACATGAAAACTACAGACTACTTGTCTTCACTAGGATTTTACCTCACATTATTTCCGTGGGTTAGCTAACGTGGTAATATACTTTTTCCTTGAGAACATGCACCCTGAGATGTGCTGTGTTAACTTAAATGGACTATATGGGCCCACAGAGTCAAAGATGTTAATATGACTCTGTCACTATACAACATTAAATAGTGGCAAAGTTCAGGGTTTGATATACAGAGATTTCAGCTTGATTAGTACCTTGGCAAATACACTATTAAACGTTCTTTGTATCTTTTATTAAAGATGCAGAAAAAGGAAAAAGAGAGCATTTGAAATAAAAGGTATTAAGTAAGGCTTTAATTTTAACAACATTCCTTTTCTTCTTTAGCTGGCGAGAGCCTTTAGTGAAAAACCTCTCTGTTTGACAGTCCCTTAGATGACATTAAAGATGGTAACTGTCCTTTTTTGGGGGAAAGAGAAGGTAGTTGAACTGGGCTGGAGTAGCTCCTGTTGAAGTCCAGTCCTGTTTTCTAGTGAACAAAACAAGACAAACATACATAAGAGGGGAGAGAAAAGAAACAGCCACGATTGAAAATGCAGCTTCTGTCTTTGGTGTTGACTTTCACTTGCATCCTTGCTGCTGGAAAAACTCAGGCATGGCAGTTGGTCTTATTCGCCACTCTGAAGACCTGGCAAACTCATACCGGAATTGGGCTGTTTAGGGCACTGCTTTTAGTTGACTCTTTGGTGACAGGCTTACAGCAGTGTTGCAAAATATACACTTTTGGCTAGCTAAGCCAGACTCTTACTCAACAAAAGGAGAGAAGTTGGAAAGAGAAGAAATAAGATGGGGAAGGAAAAGGACACCCACTGTCTCACATCCAAGATGTTATTCGGGATTGAGCCGGTGGAAGTGGTGGTGTCTGGGTTCCACCGTCTGGCCTGATCTGGTGAGGACATCCTTCAGGATCCGGATGACAAAGGCCAAACAGTGTCACAGCACATCCTGGGGTCCCAAGAGATGGTGGGAGTGGCAGCCATGATGGCAAAGCTCATTCCATCCTGTTCTGTTGACTTTCAGCCAGCCACCATTTGCAACTGTCAATTTTACCTCCCAAGTCTCTCTCTTTTGAGGACCCCAAAAAGGGAATGATGGGCAAACTAGCTTGTCATCTCGTTATTTTGTCCAACAGTTAGTTAGGCCTAGTTTTCGACATGCCAATTGTGGTTCATTAATTCCCAGTCCTGTGCTTCTCTTGTTTAGCAGGTGTGATCTTAGTACAGTGCTTGTTTTATATTAATAAGCCTTTTTGTTTGGACTAATTCAGTCTTAGTGTTTCCTTTTGCACCTTTTCCCACCAACGTTTGTTACAGATTTTTGGAATATTTTGTAAAATTTTATCTGCTTTCCCACAGTTGAGCTCACAGTTAGGGTAAATTTGTAGGCTCCGTTATTACAACAGTTGAGAGGGAGACATCACATGAAATACAACAGGTCTGAATGAGAGATAGGAGATAAGATGAGAGAATAATCATAAAAGCCAATGTATGACATTTTTAAGAAATAGGGAGGGTTAATGTCAAAAGGCACTGATGTCAAGAGAGAGAGGGTGGAGCAAAGGTCCTGGGATTTAACCATGGGATCAGCAGTGGGCCTGTCTTATGCCTATAACTTAGATTGACCTACCTTTGTAGCTCAGGCTGCGAAGAATGCACCCTGTGTAATATATTCTGGTCGATGTAACCCCCTAGGTGGATGGAAGAATTCTTCTGTTGACCTAGCTACTGCCTCTCAGAGAGGTGGACTACCTATGATGACTGAAAACCCCCTACCACCAACGTAGGAAGTGTCTGCGCTATAGTAGTGCAGCTGTAGCACTGTAGCTATGCCTGTGTAGCATAGCCCTATCCTAAGTCAGTAGTTTCAGTGGAGTGGTGAGGGTGGAGCTGGAGCTGGAGTCAAAGGGGTCAATGATGGGGTTGGAGGAGCAGGAACTCAATGTGGAAGTTGTAAATGGCACACTCAGTCTGGAAGTGAAGTGAAAATGGATGTTAGTGGAAGAGGCAGGTCACAGTGAAGTCAGTGTTTAAGATGGGAAAATGAGAGCATGTTTATGGGGAAACAAATCTCTGGAGAAAGTAGCAGGAGACAATGAACATGGTGGCAAGGAAGATCAGGAGGCAAGCTGGCATGGAGCATGTGGAGGAATTGGAGGAGGAGAGCAGATGAAAAGTCTCAGTATTGATGATGGGAGGAGAGAGGTCTTACAGATCTTGCCAATCTTTCCTTTGGGGGATGGGAAAGAAACCTTATATGGAAAGGGCGGAGATAGCAGGAGTGGGGGATGTTTAAGGAGGGAGTCAAAGGCAAAAAATAGGTGGCTGAGGTTGTGAATATGGGATTCAGTGAAGCTGAATATATAGAACTGCCTGGCTAGGAGGATAGCAGAACTGAAGGAGAAAGTGAATTTATAATAGATAGGACTGTGACAGATATTGCAGCCACATGCACTGTCTCTAGGGGAATGTATTGTATTAAATTTATGTATCACTGTGGGCCAGGTATTGTATGTATGATTGTGCTCTACTATGTGAGGGTGTTTACCACAACACCTTTAGGAACAAAAACAGTGGGGGCTATTAAGGTGAATCGTGTAAATATCTCTAGAGAGAGACCACTTCTTGGGGAGATTTGCATACACTGGTTCATACTGGGTTTTCAGAGACTGGAAAGATAAAGGGATTTTGGTTTAAGAAGGCTGCCCTTGTACTGACTCAGGGCCTACTTTCTGACTCAGCAAACAGACAAGAAATTCTGTCCAAAGGCTCCAACCTTTGCCAAAGGGTGGGAAAAACTTTTGTCTACCAGGGCCCCATAAGACTGATGGGTGATCTCTAGTAAGGTTTGAACGTGCCCATAGTAGCGTCTGTTGGTTTTTATGTCTTTTCTGTGACGCTTTTGCCTTGAGAATAAAGGTACTCGCTTAGCAAGAGTTCTGTGGTAACTTGTAACTGCTGGCAATACACTGTTTGTAGCTCTCGAAGAGACAGAAGACTGGCTTGCTGTGGAAATCGCACTGTAAGGCCTGTGCAGTCTTCACCCAACAGAGGTGATGGCTGGGCCCCAGAAACCTTAAATGAGTGCCCTCAAGGGACCAGGCAGGGGGAAATACAGGTGCAGTTACCTTGTAACCCTGTGACAGGGATTTCTGCTGTAAGTGTTAAGCTGTGCAAGAGCAAAAGTGGAGGAAGCATATTTTGGGATTGAGGAGGTGAGTGAGGACAGGAGGTTGCTAGGGTAAACCTTGTGAAGGCAGAGAGGGGCAAATGAACCAAGAGTGGTGAAGAGAGCCAAGGAATGATTCAGTAGAGGAAAGGGGAGTGGGGGGCTAAGAGGAAGAGTGGAGGAGAACTGGTGGATGTTGTTGGGCTGGAAGTTGCAGGAGGATTGGGTAGCGGGGGGGGGAGGGGGGCAGTTTGAAAGCACTGAAGGAGACAAGATATTTGTCAGAGTGGGAATCCAGCTACAGAGAGATAGGAGGGAAGTGTTTTCAGATCAGATGAAATGAGTGACTACTTCACTGAGTGGGAGCATTGATATGGGTTGCAGGTGAAATGAGACTGACTGTGAGGAAACCTGCAGCTAGTGTCCCCTGAGGCACCAACATGGAAATTGCAGTTACTGAGTTGTAAGGAAAGGAGGAGGGAGAGCAAGAAATCTAACTCACTGAAAAAAGTAGATTATTGAAGGTGAGGATTGTAGATCACTGCTCAAAGTAGGCCTGAATGACATAGTGGCTAAAACATCCATGGCTGGCCTACACTGCATAAGTAGTATTGTGGCCTTAGGGTATTCTTGGAAATTTGCTAGTATTGGATGAGAGCTAGATTCCATAAAAGACAGGATTGACCCCCAGCTATATCTGGACACTACTTCTCACATTTTGTGCTCACTGTTGAAAGCTGAACATAAGAATGGCCATAGTGGGTCAGACCAGTGGTCCCCCTAGCTCTGTATCCTGTCTTTTGAGAGTGGCCAGTGCAAGATTCTTCAGAGGGAATGAACAAAACAGGATAATTTATCAACTGATCCATTCCCTGTTACCAGTCCCAGCTTCTGTCAGTCAGAGGTTTAGGAACACCCAGAGCATGGGGTTGTGTCCCTCACCATCTTGGCTAATAGCCATTGATGGACCTATCCTCCCTGAACTTGTATAACTGGGTTCAAAAAAGAATTATATTTTTGGCCTTCACCGTGCGTCCTGGCAACAAGTTCCACAAGTTGACGGTGTACTGTATGAAGAAGTATGTATGTTTTAAATTTGCTGCCTATTAATTTCATTGGGTGACCTTTGGTTCCTGTGTTATGTGAAGAGGTAAATAACTCTTCCTTATTCACTTTCTCCACATCATTCATGATTTTATAGACCTCTATCATATCCCTTCTGAGTCATCTCTTTTCTAAGATGAATAGTTCCAGTCTTTTTAATCTCTCCTTGTATAAAAGCTTTCCATACCCATTATCTTTTTTTGTTGTTGTTGTTGCCTTTCGCTTTACTTTTTCCAATTCTAATATATCTTTTTTGAGATGGGGCAACCAGAACTGAATGCAGTATTCAAGGTGTGGACATACCATGGATTTATATAGTGGCATGATTT